AAGAATTACCTTTGAAGGTTAACGGACCTAGGGCAGTGCAATTTCAATGAGCTGAATTGGTCTGGGTACCTTTAGTGTCCCTTTTTGGGTGGCCAAGCATCTAAATAATGTTTTGAACATGATAGGGTCAGAAATACACGTTTATGTATAGCGTTCTTTAAAACCCAAAACTGCCTCCTAAAACACATCTTTTTGAAAAGTAGCCTCCATAGGGTGGTTGACATTTTTTACTGGCACAGTTTTTAATATTTGTTTGGTTGGATTGTATTCCTCATAACCATACATAAATAATGGATTTTTCATTGAATTTCAAACTTTCACTGTATAAAATACTAGATAACAGCCATGATCTGAACTAGCTACATTTTACAAATACAGTTGCTGAGGTTAGATAAAGGTTTGTTAATGTATTTGTGGCTAAAATTCCTTATAAGGAACACGTTCATTTCCATTTCTAGCCATGGCATTTTTATAAATGTATCTGTTCCATGTCACCTTTTTGTGAGTTTAATTTTACACCAATTAACACTACCCCATAAATCGTTTGGAAGAACATCGTACCAATATTTCTTATGATATAATTAGAAAATTTTCATGTAGACATTTTGCCACCATTTTTAGGTATGTTTCTGTTTTCCTATATGCTTATATAATGTATTTATTTCCATGGTCACCCTCATCTTTTGGGGGAACTTTCTCGTCACACACATATGCATTGAAACATACTAGCAAACATATACAGAGACATGAACACATTAAACCATACATAATATTAGCAAGCAACTTCAGAATAAACATACACTTCTCTTCAGTTGCAACTTAGGTCTATACGGTTATCCCTTTACCTTTGATGCCACACTTGTGCACTCCACATTCTGCTTAATCTTTCCACCTTCAATGTTTTGTTCGACAGGGCTTCAAATCCAGTCTCCGATCTGTGATGCATCACATAGCATATCAGTCTATGTTTCAGATTTGTTCTCTTTGTAATGGCACAAGTGAGCAAAAACTATTTTGATACCTGAGCGGGGATTTACCAAAGGGAAAGCGACTGAGATTCTCTAAGCTTTTGTCTGTGGCTCTCCACAAAGTGTAATTAAGGCATGGAGTGCGTGCTAACTGTGCTTAGAGGGGTATCAGCTACACCTCACCAATGAGGCCAAAAGAAAGCCAAAATGATCGTCTGAGGTTGCTGTATTACTTGTGCAAACATAACTTGCTGGCATTTCAGTTCTGGACTGTCTGCATGGCTGATATGTTTCAGATATGCTCTCTTTGTAATGGCACAAGGGAGCAAAAACTATTTTGAGACATGAGCAGGGATTTACCGAAGGGCAAGCCACTGAGATTCTCTAAGCTTTTGTCTGGTCTCAGTGTTCTCACAGCCTTGGTTTTTTGTTACATATCACTACCTAATTCATGCACCTTCAGGGTTCAATCTAGTTGTGGCTTCTCCATAATACAACATGCTCGTGCACACAAACAAAATCAATTAGTGCACCATGAGGATCCTTAACAAGATGATGTGAATTTGCAGCACCCCATATCCATGATTTTTCCCTCCTTCTTCATTTTTATTAGTATTTTTTTTTGTTTATAAAAATTTCACCTGGAAAATATACACCATTGCACAAGCAGCAGCAAAATAGAAAAGAGTTTTCGATAATAGGGTAATTTGTATATAAAGAGGGGCTGTTTTAAGCCATACTCTGGTTATGCATACTGTAAGAAAAGTTGCAAATTTAAAGATGTTACAAAATGTGGCAAATTTTGTTTACGTGTGTAATCCTCATTTAGTCCACTTTATAAAGACTTTATAGAGGCAAAAGTAAAAATAAAACTCAATTGCTCATATTTAGTTTTATTGCACCATTATTGAGAGTATGTCAGATGCTCCCAGTGATGTAATTACAACAAGAGATGAGGCTTAAAGCAGCACTGTCATGCCGAACTTACCTTTCTTTAATTGATTCCTCTTTTCTCCCTCTCTCAGAATCTGTTCATTTCTTCCTCTAGTTTTCTTTAAAACATAAGAAAAAGAGGTTTCCTACAACTGACCATCTCTGACCAGCGGCAGAACAAAGTGTGCTTCATTTGCGGTGGTCAGAGCAATTCTCCCACAATTCTCACCTTTCCTCCGTGTTCCTGCAAAGCCTCCTTTCAGTTTTCCCAAACGGCCTATCATTTAGACAGACCGCTGGCAAAACTACCAAACTGCACCCTAACAGAATGAGAACAGTTTCTCCATTCGTGCAATAGTTACTTTATTTCAGTAATGCAACGTAAAAGGGGAAACTAATATATGAGAGAGACGCATTACATGCAAAGCAGGATAGTTCAAGCCGTGATTTGTCATAAGTGCGATGATTATGGCTTACAACTCATGAAAACCCCAAATCCAAAATCTCAATAAATTAGAATATTGTGAAAGGGTGCAATATTCTAGGTTCACAATGTCCCACTCTAATCATCTAAGGAAGCCATAACACCTGCAAAGGGTTTCTGAGCCTTTAAATGGTCTCTTAGTCTGGTTCAGTAGGAATCACAATCATGGGGAAGACTGCTGACCTGACAGTTGTGCAGAAAACCATCATTGACACCCTCCATAAGGAGGGAAAGCCTCAAAAGGTAATTGCGAAGGAAGTTGGATGTTCCCAAAGTGCTGTATCAAAGCACATTAATATAAAGTTATGTGGAGGGGAAAAGTGTGGAAGAAAAAGGTGCTCAAGCAGCAGGGATGACCTTGGCCTGGAGAGGATTGTCAGGAAAAGCCCATTCAAATGTGTTAGGGACTTTCACAAGGAGTGGACTGAGGCTGGAGTCCGTGCATCAAGAGCCACTGCACACAGACGGATCCTGGACATGGGCTTCAGATGTCGTATTCCTCTTGTCAAGCCACTCCTGAACAAACAACATCAGAAGCGTCTTACCTGGGCTAAAGAAAAACAGACCTGGTCTGTTACTCAGTGGTCCAAAGTACTCTTTTCTGATGAGAGCAACTTTTGAATCTCATTTGGAAACCAAGGACCCAGAGTCTGGAGAAAGAATGGAGAGGCACACACTGCAAGATGCTTGAAGTCCAGTCTGTGTTGATTAGGGGAGCCATATCATCTGCTGGTGTTGGTCCGCTGTGCTTAATTAAGTCCAGGGTCAACGCAACCGTCTACCAGGAGATTTTGGAGCACTTCGTGCTTCCTTCTGCAGACGAGCTTTATGGGGATGTTGACTTCATTCTCCAGCAGGACTTGGCATCTGCCCACAGTACCAAAAGCACCAAAGCCTGGTTCAATGACAGTGGGATTACTGTGCTTGATTGGCCATCAAACTCACCTGACCTGAACCTTATAGAGAATCTATGGGGCATTGCCAAGAGAAAGATGAGAGACATGAGACCGAACAATGCAGAAGAGCTGAAGGCCGCTATTGAAGCATCCTGGTCTTCCATAACGCTTCAGCAGTGCCACAGGCTGATAGCTTCCATGCCACGCCACATTGAGGCAGTAATTGCTTCAAAAGGGGCCCAAACCAAGTACTGAGTCCATATGCATGCTTATACTTTTCAGAGGTCCGCTATTGTTCTACGTACACTCCTTGTTTTATTGATTGCATGTAATATTCTAATTTACGTAGATTGTGGATTTGGGGTTTTCATGAGCTGAAAGTGGGAAAGTGTCTCAGTTTTTACACTACCCTATCCAAAAAGAATGTATGTTACCTAAATTATCAGATTTTTATAACTATAGATTACCATTAGCAAAAAATTGCTAATTTCGTTAGTAAGTGAAAAGGGTAAAATATTTATACAGAATTTTATTTTTCGCTACTAGGACATCAACAAGGGTTTCGTAGAATAAAAGCAAACAAAGAACCTTTGAAAAATGATAAAATATTTGCTACAACTTTCAGCCATATTCGATGAGAAATATTTCTTTTTCCATTTCCAAAGTAACTTTATTTCTTAATTACTTTGCCTAAGCCACAAGTGAGTAAATTATTGCCTGAATGGTGTATCGTTTGAAGGTAGGTGAGCTGACCTGTAGTCATGAATGGAAATTTCCCATGGGTTTAAAAAAAAAAAAAAAGTAACAGCTTTATCTATGGGATGGTGCCATTAAGGAGATTTTCAAAACTAGCTGCATCTCAGTTGTAGAAGAAGTTGGGGGGGAATGTTCTCTGCAGTGGAGACTTTCCAGGTATTAAGATTGTGCCTGCCACTAACAATGGGATCATTTGAGGTACTGATGAAAAAAAGGTTTCCTCTATAAAGGCACAAGTAAGCATAAATAGGTTTAAAAGATGCTCAATTAAGCACTTCCCCTAGGTCAGGCAACTCATGTTTTTTTGCCCAATCTCATGGCCATTCTCATTGGTTTACTTATTAAAGAGACACACTCAAATATTGTATGCACAAATGACCTTTAGCTTAATCCCTTCATAAGCGATAATTTGCTAGAACTGCCTTGATATAATTAGATTGGATGAATCCATTGTCTTGAAAGTGTATAAATAATTGCCACTCCCCACTATTGAGTTGTATAGGATGTATGTGAGACATGCTTTCTAATTTTTTAAAAAGGAGTTTTTAGCATATTAAGCAGGGAGCAAGTAGAGCACTCTGATGTATATAACATACGTCTCTAGCAGGAAAATACCTATGGTGCTTTAACACTGAGCCTTTGGTTTACAAATTAGTTCCCAATACAGGACATAATAGAAATGCTACAAAGAAGGATAATATACATTACAGTGCAAAACTAAAACACACATTAAACAGCATTTTAATAAAGTGCTAGCTAAGTCATAAACCCCCTTCTGAATATATAGCATATGCATATACAAAACTTGGTACATGTTTTTGCAAAAAACAAAACAACAAAAAAACAGGAAACTATTTACACAATGTGCTACAAATTAAAGAGGTTTGTTAAAACACACAAAAACAAGAGGGCTTTCTCAAAAAGAGGAAATGGCAGAAAAATGCAAATCATAACATTTGCAAGCTAATTATCACTAGGCTTCACTTTTCCTTGATCTTCTACTTTCTTTATGGCAGCCTGGATAGCTTCTTGATCACCCAAAAATACATGTGGCTTGATCGGGTGCAGATGTTCATCAAGTTCAAGAAGCACAGGAACACCAGTTGGAAGAGAAATGTTTATTATGTCCGTATCAGAAATGCCTAAACAAAAAAAAAAAAAAATGATATGTTAAGCAGATCACTGAGAAAATTACATACATTTATATAAATATATTAAATACAACGTATAAAAAGAGTTCTGTAAATTAGTGGGGTGTTTTTTGGTTAAAGACAGCTTGGCAACGCACTCTTTAAGCCCTTAAGGATGGACTCCATTGTACAAGTTCTTATCAAAATCTGGAATTTGCGCTGTCTGTTCAACTACAATTCACCTCTACATATTAAGTGCACACAGACTTATTATATAGCATTTTGTTCAGGAGAAACAGGGCTTTCGTTTCATATCAAAATATTTATATATGAAACAATTTAATATGAAAGAAAAAAAAAAAAAAACTGAGAAATTAAGACATTTTATTTTTCAAATTCTGCATGGCATTTTAACTGTTAGTCTCAAAATATTGTTAGTTTTTACTGCATTAAATTACACTTGGTCACAAAGCCTAGCCAAAGCTAGAGTTCATATTAGGTTTTTGCATTTTTCACACAAAGACTGCACTGATATCACGGTCATTATACATTTTACTGCTGTAAAATGCTTTATGTCTCATGAACAGGTTTTATGGAGTTTTGGAAAGTTACAAGGTCAAATATAGGGCTTGCCCATTTAATTTTTACACATTGAATTTTGCCACATTGGTTATGGTGCCTTTGAGACCGTATGGCAGCCCAGGAATGAGAATTACCCCCATCATGACATATCATTTGCATAAGTAGACAACCCAGTGTATTTAAAATGGGGTATGCCCAGTCTTTTTTAGTATCCACTTAGTTACAATCTCTGGCCACAAATGAGCGTGTAATATATATATATATTTTTATTTATATTTATTTTATTTTTTGCATTTTTCACAAAAAAATAAATAAATGACCTTTCACTGATATTGTCAATATAGGTTTTACTTCTCTAACACTCATTTATGTTCAGGGATTCCTCACGGATAAAAATCAGTACACCCCATGTACAGGTTTTATGGAGTTTTGGAAAGTTACAGGGACAAATCTAAGGCTTCCCCATTTCACTTTGCGGATCCTGTGTTGCCTTTGAGACCATATGGCAGCCAAGGAATGAGAATTACCTTCATCATGGCATACCATTCACAAAAGTAGACAACCCAGGGTATTCATAATTTGGTAAGTCCAGTCTTATGTAATAGCCCCTAAGTCACAAACGCTAGCCAAAGTTCGTTTTCATGTATTTTATTTTCATTATTTTCACTGATGATATCATTACAAGTTTTAGTGTTTTAAAACACTCATTTGGGTTCAGAGAGAATATATTAAGACACGCTTATTGCATACATATATTAATTTTGATGCACTTTAATATATGTATAATAAGTTAATTAAATCATCTAAGTAGCATATTTCACATGTATAAAACATAATTTAATTATAATTTTATTTCATTCTACATTTCTATCATAAAGGGAATCAACACAGTAAAGGATGAGACTATTTAAAAGAAGAAAAACTACCACAACAAGAGGACAGTCTTAAATTAGAGGGGCATAAGTTTGTAAAGTAATACTTCCTGACATTTTTAGAGAGGGTAGTGGATGCATGGAATAGCCTTCCAGCTGAAGTGGTAGAGATTAACACCGTGCCAGAAAAAAAAAAAAAAAAAGAATGTTCCTGGCATTGCAGGGCCCCTCTCCCTCCCACCACCCATGCTTTCCTATGGGGAATTGTGCGACGCTGGAGGTCCTCACACAGCATGAGAATGTCCAGCAACGCTCTAGCACAGGTTTCCTGTGCTATGGACACAGAAGTGCCCTCTAGTGGCTGTCTAGTAGACAGCCACTAGAGGTGGAGTTAACCCTGCAAGCTAATTATTGCAGTTTATAAAAAACTGCAATAATTACACTTGCAGGGTTAAGAGTAGTGGGAGTTGGCACACAGACCACTCCAATGGGCAGAAGTGGTCTGGGTGCCTGGAGTGTCCCTTTAAGCATATGTGGGATGGGCATAAGGCTATCCTAGACTTAAGATAACGCCCAGGGACTAACTAAAAGTATTTAGAAAATTGGGCAGACTAGATGGGCCGAAAGAATGTGACGACAGATCGGAAACAATTTTTTTATTAATATATATCAAAATACAGTAAGAATTAAATGTATTATACATGCATCATCTGCTAATAAGATGCTTTAACCCCTTAAGGACGGAGCCAAATGTACACGTTGTGAACGAAACAAAATGTAAACAAAACCTGGCATTTGCGCTACATGTCTGTCCAACCGTAATACACCTCTTTCATAGTATATGCACCCACCCTTATTATATATCATTTTATTCAGGGGAAACAGGGCTTTCATTTAATATCAAATATTTAGCTATGAAACATAATTTAATATGAAAAAAATGGGAGAAAATAAGAATTTTTTAATTCTACATGACATTTTAACTGTCAATGTCATAATACTGTTTGCTTTTACTGCAAAAAAATACACATATTTGTATTCAGCAAAGTCTCACATGTAAAACAGTACCCCCTATGTACAGGTTTTATGGCGTTTTGGGAAGTTACAGGGTCAAATATAGCATGTTACATTAGAAATTGAAATTCGCCAGATTGGTTACGTTGCCTTTGGGACTTTATAGTAGCCAGGAATCAAATTTACACCCATAATAGCATACCATTTGCAATAGTAGACAACCCAAGGTATTGCAAATGGGGTATGTCCAGTCTTTTTTAGTAGCCATTTGGTCACAAACACTGGCCAAAGTTAGCGTTAGTATTTGTTTGTGTGAAAAATGCAAAAAAAAAACGCCCAATTTTGGCCAGTGTTTGTGACTAAGTGGCTACTAAAAAAGACTGGGCATACCCAGTTTGCAATACCTTGGGTTGTCTACTATTGCAAATGGTATGCCATCATCGGGGTAATTTTCATTCTCGGGCTACCATAGGGTCTCAAAGGCACCGTAACCAATCTGGCGAATTTTAATGTGAAAAAAATGAAACGCAAGCCTTATATTTGACGCTGTAACTTTTGAAAACACCATAAAACCTGTACATGAGGGGTACTGTTGTACTCTGGAGACTTCGCTGAACACAAATATTTGTGTTTCAAAACAGTAAAAAGTATTGCAGCAATAATATCGTCCGTGTTAGTGCGGTTTGTGCATGAAAAATGCAAAAAAACTTCACTTTTACTGGCGATATCATCGTTGTAATACATTTTACTGTTTTGAAACACTAATATTTGTGTTCAGCGAAGTCTCCCGAATAGAACAGTACCCCCCACGTACAGGTTTTATGGTGTCTTGAAAAGTTATAGGGTTAAATATAGTGCTAGCCAATTAAATTTCCTTTACTTTCGGCATGGGTTGTCAGGCAGGTCCCTCTAATTGTAATTAATTAAGATACCTAATAATGTAAAAATATTACATAAATATATATGTAGAATATATGTATGTGAATCTATATGTGTATATCTATATAATTTTTAAAAAATATTTTTATTTATATATAGGTATATATATGTATATATTTAAGTATGTAGATATATATATATTATTTCGTTCTACGTGTATTTTGAGATATATATATATATATATATATATATATTAATATCACAATACAGTTAGAACGAAATAACACATCTATATATTTAATTATTTTTTTAATTTTATTTTTTAACGTATTTACATATTTAATTTTTTTATATTATACATAAATATATATATATATATATAACAATAATTATATATATATATTTAATCAGTATCAGTCTACGTGTAATTTGATATTAATATATATTAATGGTAAAATACACCTAGACGGTGTACGTGTGTGTATATAGATATATATATAGATATATATATATATATATATATATATATATATATATATATATATATATATATATATATATATATATATATATATATATAGATATATATAGATATATATAGATAGAGATTTTTTTTTTTACTTTTTTTTTTACACCAATACATTATATTTTAATTTTATTTTCAGCCTCCTGCTGGCAATGCAGGAGGCAGCCAACCCGGCCATGTGATTGTGGGGTCCTCGCAAGGACCCCACTCTCACATGGCCGGGGGGCACCGGAAGAGGAGGATCTACCGTGGGGGGGCTCCCTGGGAGTCCCCCCACCGCGATCGCCGGCGGCGTTTAGAGCCGCCTAAAATAGGGCGTAATTGCACGTCCTCCGGTCAGAAGGGGTTAATTAACTCGTAATAAATATATTATTGTAATGTGTGATATTAACTTTTTTAAAAAATTTTAGGTACTAGGGGAACTGCCTGAACACTCAAAGACCGCTATTGTGGTCATGTGATTGCAACATCCGTTGCGATCACATGGCCCTGGAGGGCCGGAAAGAAAGCAGGGGGACTGCCTGGCTCATGAGGCAGTCCCCCCAGACCAGGATTGTCGGTTCAGGTAAGTAAATAGAGGCCTGGGAGTGCATGGTCGTTAGGGCATACTATGCTGCCCTAATGGCGTTTAGGTTCACTTAATGTGGGACGGCATAGTAAGCCCTAACAGCGATAAGGGGACAGTCTAAGCACCACAACCAATACAGCCCACCATAGATGTTATGCTGCTGAGAGTGCCACTCATTGCTTGATTGTAACAAACTATAGATTTGGTGCAATATATATTTATTATCTTGAACTTTAGAATTATTTCTCTCTCTAATAGTCTTGTGACACTTTTGTAGCTTTTAGAATTCTGTAAGAAACTTATTCACTGAAAATTAAATAATTCTGTAGCAAAGTCCCCGAGTGTTTTTTTCCCCTTATGACCACTGAGAAGTAGTAGAGATCATTACCATATATAACCTCCCACTTATGTGTATTATTTTTCGTTACGGACAGTACTATGGAATTTGTTGGTGCTATATTAAAAATAACTACAAAACATGTTTAGACATCACTTATAGCTGACTAACTCATAATTTCCTCCTTCCTCTTAATAGAGGATCTATTTAAGTCTATAGTGGTTTGTGGGGTGTGTAATGTTTGTTACTAGCTTAAATAAGCTGTTGGAAACAGAAAAACAAACCACACAACACAACAAACAAACCAAACAACATAGTCTTTCTGGTGTCACAGGGGTCTCCACTGCAATAGGGAAAGCGGTACTGCAGTAATAAACTTTAACTGGGGCCTGGTGAATGTTGAGTGTTTGTTCCAAACATTGAAAGCACCATTAAAATAACAGTGCACCATTTTTTAGGATTGACACAATATTTACTACAAAGAGCAATACATCTTCTGACATGTGCAAACAAATAGAATATCTGTGTTTGTCCAACTAAGCAATTTACTTCTCAAAGCTGCATTTATTTAGTAACTAGAAACAAAAATAAACAGAAAAATCCACAGAAATTTGCAACTGGTCTATGAAAAATTTGGGTTTTGTTACTTATTGTCAGTGGTAACTGCTCAACTGGAACACTATTATGGATCATGCAAAATTGCAACAGAACGATCACATGGTCACAATAGGTGTCCATGTGTCTGCCTGCAGGGGGACTGTCTGTGCTGACAGGCAGTCTCCCTGCATGTGTAAAATCATTAAAAAAATAAAAAAATAAATAAAGTTCAATATTAATAAAAAAATAATTATATGTGTATATAAATATGCTATATAGACATATTATATACATATAATATATGTCTATATATCATTTAATGTCATACAAAGTGTATTTTTATATTAATATGTACATATATTAATATAAAAATACACTTATAATTAAATTAAACATGTATACAGGGAGTGCAGAATTATTAGGCAAATGAGTATTTTGACCACATCATCCTCTTTATGCATGTTGTCTTACTCCAAGCTGTATAGGCTCGAAAGCCTACTACCAATTAAGCATATTAGGTGATGTGCATTTCTGTAATGAGAAGGGGTGTGGTCTAATGACATCAACACCCTATATCATGTGTGCATAATTATTAGGCAACTTCCTTTCCTTTGGCAAAATGGGTCAAAGAAGGACTTGACAGGCTCAGAAAAGTCAAAAATAGTGAGATATCTTGCAGAGGGATGCAGCACTCTTAAAATTGCAAAGCTTCTGAAGCGTGATCATCGAACAATCAAGCGTTTCATTCAAATAGTCAACAGGGTCGCAAGAAGCGTGTGGAAAAACCAAGGCGCAAAATAACTGCCCATGAACTGAGAAAAGTCAAGCGTGCAGCTGCCACGATGCCACGATGCCACGATGCCACTTGCCACCAGTTTGGCCATATTTCAGGGCTGCAACATCACTGGAGTGCCCAAAAGCACAAGGTGTGCAATACTCAGAGACATGGCCAAGGTAAGAAAGGCTGAAAGACGACCACCACTGAACAAGACACACAAGCTGAAACGTCAAGACTGGGCCAAGAAATATCTCAAGACTGTTTTTCCTAAGGTTTTATGGACTGATGAAATGAGAGTGAGTCTTGATGGGCCAGATGGATGGGCCCGTGGCTGGATTGGTAAAGGGCAGAGAGCTCCAGTCCGACTCAGACGCCAGCAAGGTGGAGGTGGAGTACTGGTTTGGGCTGGTATCATCAAAGATGAGCTTGTGGGGCCTTTTCGGGTTGAGGATGGAGTCAAGCTCAACTCCCAGTCCTACTGCCAGTTCCTGGTAGACGCCTTCTTCAAGCAGTGGTACAGGAAGAAGTCTACATCCTTCAAGAAAAACATGATTTTCATGCAGGACAATGCTCCATCACACGCGTCCAAGTACTCCACAGCGTGGCTGGCAAGAAAGGGTATAAAAGAAGAAAATCTAATGACATGGCCTCCTTGTTCACCTGATCTGAACCCCATTGAAAACCTGTGGTCCATCATCAAATGTGAGATTTACAAGGAGGGAAAACGGTACACCTCTCTGAACAGTGTCTGGGAGGCTGTGGTTGCTGCTGCACGCAATGTTGATGGTGAACAGATCAAAACACTGACAGAATCCATGGATGGCAGGCTTTTGAGTGTCCTTGCACAGAAAGGTGGCTATATTGGTCACTGATTTGTTTTTGTTTTGTTTTTGAATGTCAGAAATGTATATTTGTGAATGTTGAGATGTTATATTGGTTTCACTGGTAATAATAAATAATTGAAATAGGTATATATTTGTTTTTTGTTAAGTTGCCTAATAATTATGCACAGTAATAGTCACCTGCACACACAGATATCCCCCTAACATAGCTAAAACTAAAAACAAACTAAAAACTACTTCCAAAAATATTCAGCTTTGATATTAATGAGATTTTTGGGTTCATTGAGAACATGGTTGTTGTTCAATAATAAAATTAATCCTCAAAAATACAACTTGCCTAATAATTCTGCACTCCCTGTATATATACACACACACACACATTATATATATATATATATATATATATATATATATATATATATATTATATAAATATTATTATAAAATACAAATAAGTAATTTAAATTAAATAAACATGTAAAAATAATACAAATTTAAAATATATATCTATGAAATTTTATTCTAACTGTTTTGATAGTAATATATATTTATATCAAAATGCACTTAGAATGAAATTGTATATATATATATATATATATATATATATATATATATGTATAAATAAATAAAAATACAAAATATACATGTCCATATACAAAATTAAATAATTATATATACACGTAGACTTCAAATATATAAATATGCATATATATGTAAATTCTACGTGCGTATTTATGTAATATTTTTACATAATTAAGTAATTTTATTGATTGCAATTTGAGGGACCTGCCTGCCAACCCAGGACGAAAGTCCAGAGTATTTAATTTGCTAGCACTATATTTTAGCCTGTAACTTTCTATGACACCCTAAAACCTGTACATGGGGGGTACTGTTTTACTCAGAAGACTTCGCTGAACACAAATATTAGTGATTCAAAACAGTAAAACATATCACAGCGATGATATTGTCAGTGAAAGTGACTTTTTGTTTTGCATTTTTCACACACAAACAGCACTTTTACTGATGATATAATTGTTGTGATAGGTTTTCCTTTTTTGAAACACTAATATTTGTGTTCAGCAAAGTCTCCTGATTATAACAGTACCCCCCATGTACAGGTTTTATAGCGTTTTTGAAAGTTTCAGGGTCAAATATTTTTACATTGAAAAAGGCCAGGTTGGTTACGTTGCCTTTGAGAGCGTACGGTAGCCCAGGAATGAGAATTACCCCCATGATGGCATACCATTTGCAAAAGAAGACAACCCAAAGTATTGCAAATGTCCAGTCTTTTTTAGTAGCCACTTAGTCACAAACACTGGCCAAAATTAGCGTTCAATTTAGTTTTTTTACTTTTTTCACACACAAACAAATATGAATGCTTACTTTGGCCAGTGTTTTCGACTAAGTGGCTACTAAAAAAGACTGGACATACCCCATATTGAATACCCTGGGTTGTCTACTTTAAAAAAAATATGTACATGTGGGGTGTTATTCAGAGATTTATGACAGATAATAGTGTTACAATGTCTCTATTGATAAATTTTAAAAATGTATGTTTTGAAACCACAATATCCTTATACCTAGAGCCCTATAACTTGCAAAAAAAAAAAAGCATGTAAAACACTGGTTATTTTTAAACTCAGGACAAAATTTTGAATCTATTTAGCAGTTGTTTTTCCCATTCGCTTTAATAGATTAGTAAAAGATTTTTCAAGTAAAAGTCAAAAAACATGTATTTTTTTTCAATTTTTCATCATTTTTTATTTTTTTTTTTCAATTAAATTACATGAGATAATATAAATAATGATATGTAAAGAAAGCCCCTTTTGTCCTGAAAAAAAAAAACAATATATAATTTGTATGGGAACAGTAAATGAGAGAGCGGAAAATTACAGCTAAACACAAACACCACAAACGTGTAAAAAGAGGCCTGGTCGCAAATGTACAACATCGCAAAAACAGTCCAGTCCTTAATGGATTAATGATGTCTTGGGAGGAGAAGCAGCATTGGTGCTGGAAATAGGCAAGTAAAAACCTTTATTTGTCACACACATGAGGGGGAGGAAGGGGCTATATAACCAGGAAAGGGATCCTAAAGTGTTAAGATACAGGTTTGACTTCCTAATGCTTTAGTGTTCCTTTAATACAGCTCAGATTACTGAACTAATTGTAGGAGTGGGTTAGAAGGGCTAAGGAAGAAATCACAGCCTTTTGATGGTTGAGTATCGGAAGTTTAATTAAACATTTACAGTGTTGAAGTATAGACACTTACTCACTTTTAACACAACCAAATTGTTAACCATAAGTTACGTATTGGCTGTGTTCATTTTTAAAGTTAACTCTTGCAGTACCACACACAGCGCATGTTGTAAAGCGATATGGAATCTATTGGCGCTATATACAGTAAATAGCGATAATAATAATAATAATAATAATAATAATAATAATAATGTGTGCATACGGTGAGAATTCTGAGTGCACATTTTAACATTCACTGTTAGATGCCCAGGTTGCTACGTGGGATGGTGAGGAATGTGGAAGTACAGCACAGGTAAGTACGCAATCACTGATAAATATTCACTGGGATGAAGGAAAAAAAGCAGACCATCTTTAAACTTCATTTATAAAGAATAAAAAAAGTAATGAAAAAAGAACGAAAAAAAACAAATTAACCCCCCCAAAAATAATGAAAAAAGCAAACACTTATTAAGCTCACAAAAAAAAAGATTCAATTTTTGTAATTTGTAAGCTTCCATTTAATATGCCAATGACATGACCGTTTACAAAAAAAAAATTTTTTTTAAATGTTTTTGCTCTAGAGCTGCAGAATTTAATTTCTTAAGAAGGCATGGCGTGTAACATTGTATCTACCGTATATACTCTAGTATAAGCAGAGTTTTTCATCACATTTTTTGTGCTGAAAAAGCCCCCTATGGCTTATACTCGAGTCAGAGTCTGTATTATGGCAACTTACATTGCTATAATACAGACCAGGACCGCTGGGTTCATTACAAGCCTGGCGGTCCTGGGGGGATGCGAGGTAGAAAGCGGTTACCTCCCAGCAGCTCCGTTCATCTCCCAGTGTCAATCTCAGGAGACCCGTGAGATTGACACTGGGAGATGAATGGAGCTGCCGGCCTCCCCACTGCACTGCGTCCATGCCACTGGACCACCAGGGAATGACCTAGCCCCCCACCCTGGCCAGGTAACAAGCAGGGAGGGGGACAAAAAATAAAATAAAAAATAAACCATTAAATATTAAAATAAAAATGCCCTCCCCCCCACCCAGTTTACACACACTACACAAACACACACACACCCATATCCCCCATTATATACACAGACACTGCATTCATTATATACACACACTGCAAATAAATATTCAATTCATGTAATTTTATTGGGATCTAATTTTATTTAGAAATTTACCAGTAGCTGCTTCATTTCCCACCCTAGGCTTATACTATAAGATTTCCCAGTTTTTTGTGGTAAAATTAAGTGCCTCGGCTTATATTCGGGTTGGTTTATACTCTAGTATATATGGTAATTACTATGCAGGACATTACTCAAGATCAAAGACCTTAATACAGATGATTTCTTTCCGGCATTAAAAAACAGACCATACTCATACATACACAAGCACATACCACATTCACCACTTTCTAAACAAACAAAATATTACCATAGCAATATGCTTTAGTTCAGAATAGTCACATATCCCTAACTGAAACAGAAAAACAGAACAGAAACAAGCTAATTTTTTGGAAGTGCATACAATGGACACTCACAATAACTACTACAGCATGCAATAATGATTATGGTGCCAAGAGTGCATTAGCACTTCCGCAATGCAAGTAGTCAAACCATTTGTCAACAGTTGGACTTCTTTCCTGAAGGCACCTTGGTATATAGGGTTACTATAACCCTTTTGAGAAGTTTATTTTTTTAAGTTCTAATGCTGATTGGGCCCTAGTACCTTTTTCAACCCCTTTTTGTTAGCCCCCAAACCCAGTAAATTAAGTAAAATTTAAAAAAAAACGTAACTTGAATTCAACACAGAGAAATTCTCCATATGTGTTTCGACTCCCCATCACTCTTTTCCTCCTCAAGGTCTAATCAAATGCTTCTCTGGGCTGTTCTTACCAGGTCAAAGTGCATGCATGTATGCGGGGAGGGTTGAAATAAAGAAAGGAGGCAGGGAGCAGTGGCATACCAACAGGGGGGGCGGTCTGCCCCGGGTGCCACTTGTTACAGGGTTGCCATCTACCCTCTTGGTGAGAGATGCTGCCGGGCAGCAAGAGTAAGAATCTGGAGGCTGTCAACTTGCTCCGCCCTCATGGTGTTTTGGGTTGAAGTGCTCTGACACTGTGTGGGTAGGGTTTTTTGTAGAGGGGGCAGATGTTTTGTAGAAGGGGAGATAATTTAAAATAAAAAAATAATTAGAATGCAATATTTTGTAAACAAATAGTGAGGTTTTTGTTTTGTTTTTTACATTTGAAAGGCGAAGGGGGTGGGGGGCAGGGAGAGAGGGCCTGTGTGTGCCAAACACAGGATCCGTCCGGGTGCCAAATGCTCTATGTACGCCCTTGGCAGGGAACATGTAGAATGTCTATTGCCATTGCACACCGATAACAGGGTTCATTTTTGCACAAAATGAACATTTAGGCAGGCCGGAACAGAGTTCTGCACCACCTAAGTCACATCTACTTGTACTGCAGCTAGCCCCCAGCACAAAAGTGCCAATATCACTGTATGTGCAGCAGTTCAAACAAAACAAGGGACATACAGATTGCTTCCTCCTAAGCCACTTTAAAAAAGTAGAAATCTTCATCAAGGTTGGAGCAACACTTTCAGTTTTCCCCTTCTCCCTTTTTTTCCCCACACCCAAAAAAAAATAAAAAAAATTGTAAAAAATAAAAAAATCAATGCTGGTAAAATTAAAATGCGTAAGTGTGATTATGCCTGGCGTATACCTCTAACGTCATTAATAGTTTATACATTTATAAAATCTATTGGGTACAAAGTGTAATCTTTTTGTATAATTATATGCTTTGAATTAATTTGTTCTGCTTGAAGAAGAAGGAAAACCGAAAACACAACAGCATTTTAAAGGAACACTATAGGGTCAGAAACACAAACATGTATTCCTGACACATTAGTGTTAAAACCACCATCTAGCCCTCCCCGTGCCTCCCTAAATTTAGTAAAATGTTACTTATATTCAAGTCCTCAGCTGTTGCCTCTGCCCCTGAACTGCCTGCTGACATCAAAAATGGTGGTATGAGCCAATCACGATGCTTCCCCATAGAATTGGCTGAAACTGTCAAGGAGGCAAACACAGCCCTGGCCAATCAGAATCTCTTCATAGAGATGCATAGAGATTGAATCAATGCATCTCTATGAGGAAAGTTCAGTGTCTGCATGCAGAGGGTGGAGACACTGAATGGAGGTACTGCAAAGTGTGCAGCACTGCCCCAGAAAGCACCTCTAGTAACCATCTGAGAAGTGGCCAGTAGAGTTATTACTAGGTTGCAATGTAAACACTACACTCTCTCTAAAAAGACAGTGTTTACTTCAAAAAGCATTAACCCCTTAAGGACGGAGCCAAATGTACACGTTGTGAACGAAACAAAATGTAAACAAAACCTGGCATTTGCGCTACATGTCTGTCCAACCGTAATACACCTCTTTCATAGTAAATGCACCCACCCTTATTATATATCATTTTATTCAGGGGAAACAGGGCTTTCATTTAATATCAAATATTTAGCTATGAAACATAATTTAATATGAAAAAAATGGGAGAAAATACGTTTTTTTTTTATTTTTTTAGTTCTACATGACATTTTAACGGTCAGTGTCATAATACTGTTTGCTTTTACTGCAATAAAATACACATATTTGTATTCAGCAAAGTCTCACGTGTAAAACAGTACCCCCTATGTACAGGTTTTATGGCGTTTTGGGAAGTTACAGGGTCAAATATAGCACGTTACATTTGAAATTGAAATTCGCCAGATTGGTTACGTTGCCTTTGGACTTTATAGAAGCCCAGGAATGAAATTTACACCCTTAATGGCATACCATTTGCAATAGTAGACAACCCAAGGTATTGCAAATGGGGTATGTCCAGTCTTTTTTAGTAGCCATTTGGTCACAAACACTGGCCAAAGTTAGCGTTAGTATTTGTTTGTGTGTGAAAAATGCAAAAAGCGCCAATTTTGGCCAGTGTTTGTGACTAAGTGGCTACTAAAAAAGACTGGACATACCCCGTTTGCAATACCTTGGGTTGTCTACTATTGCAAATGGTATGCCATCATAGGGGTAATTTTCATTCTTGGGCTACCATAGGGTCTCAAAGGCAACGTAACCAATCTGGCGAATTTTAATGTGAAAAAATGAAACGCAAGCCTTATATTTGGCGCTGTAACTTTTGAAAACACCATAAAACCTGTACATGAGGGGTACTGTTGTACTCGGGAGACTTCGCTGAACACAAATATTTGTGTTTCAAAACAGTAAAAAGTATTGCAGCAATAATATCATCCGTGTAAGTGCTGTTTGTGCATGGAAAATGCAAAAAACTTCACTTTTACTGGCAATATCATTGTTGTAATACATTTTACTGTTTTGAAACACTAATATTTGTGTTCAGCGAAGTCTCCCGAGTAAAACAGTACCCCCAATTTACAGGTTTTATGGTGTCTTGGAAAGTTATAGGGTTAAATATAGTGCTAGCAAATTAAATTCCCTATACTTTCGGCATGGGTTGTTAGGCAGGTCCCGCTAATTGTAATTAATTAGGATACCTAATTATGTAAAAATATTACATAAATATATGTGTAGAATTAATATATGTATATATATACACACATATGTGTATATATACATATATATATAATTTTTTAAAATATTTTTTTATATATAGGTGTATATATATATATAGTGATATATACGTATATATTTATGTAGATATATTATTTTGTTCTACGTGTATTTTGATATAAATATATATATATTAATATCACAATACAGTTAGAACGAAACAACAAACATCTATATATTTTTTATTATTTATTTTTAATTATTTTTTAATTTTATTTATTTTACGTATTTACATTTTTTTATATTATATATAAATATATATAACAATAATTATATATATATATATTTAATCAGTATTAGTCTACGTGTAATTTGATAGTAATATATATATAAATAATTATATATATTAATATTTAAATACACTTCGTGTATGTGTAAATGTGTGTGTGTGTGTGTGTGTATATATATATATACATATATATATATATATATATATACTTAGATCATATATATATATAATATATATGATCTAAGTATATTTTATATTTAACTGTAATTTTTTTTTTTTTTACTAATATTTTATTTATTTTTACAGGACAGGGGGCAGAGACAGTGTCAGCCAGTGATTTTACATCACTGGCTGACACACAGGATCAGTGATCACAGTGACTGCCTGTCACTGTGATCACCTCCTGCAGATTGGGTAATTGGCCACAGGGGGGAGTGCCTGGGTGGTACAAGCACTCCCCCCTTCCAATCTGCAGGGGGATCATTGTGCCAGTTACATGTGTCAGCCAATAGGCTGACACATGTAACACTGATCGCAGTGACAGGCTGTCACTGCGATCAGAGTGCTCTGAGATCGCAGTGACAGCCTGTCACTGCGATCTCAGAAGGTGCAGATCGCGGTCACTGACCCCAGGGGGACTGCCTGGTGGGCCAGGTAAGTCCCCCGACCGCGATCTGCATAGCAGAAAGCCGCTGGCCACGTGTGTCAGCCGATTTGAAATCGGCTGACACACGTTAAAAACTGATCGCAGTGACAGCCTGTCACTGCGATCAGTGACTGCAGATCGCGGTCACCGGCCACAGGGGGGGTTGCCTGGGGGGCCGGGCATCCCCCCCGACCGCGATCTGCAGCGGGCGAATAGCGCCGGCCACATGGGCGGCCATTAAAGTGAGGGCGTACTATTACGCCCGCCGGCGTTTAGAGCCGGCTCCTGCAGGGCGTAATAGTACGCCCTCCGTCCTTAAGGGGCTAAGGGAATGATTACACACCAGAACAAATACAATAAACTGTAGTTTTCGTGACTATAGTGTCCATTTAAAATAAAAAGGGACAGACCCTTAAAGCCGTGCAAGCACTCTAGTCCCAATTTATAAAAATGCAATTTGCAAAAGAAAGGGAGTTAAAATGATAAGGCAAAAGGAAAGTGTTAAAGGAACACTTGCCACCTTAAAGGGACACTATAGGCATCCAGACCACTTCAGCTCATTGAAGTGGTCTAGGTGCAATGAACCTGCCTCTCTTTGTCCTGTAAAACATTGCAGTTTGAGAAAATGCTAAACTGCAGTACTAAGAGAGCCTCAAGCGTCTGTTGATCAGGAAGCCACTAGGAGCGCTAACGGGTGTTTATCGGACTCTAGGTCCCCTAAGTGATGCTAAACGTCCTCACACTCTGCATCAGGACATCCAGAGTCAGTTAAACCACATGGGAATGCACTGAAGCAATGATTTCCTATGAAGAGGCCCTAGACACATTAGACACCACCCCCCCCCCCCCACTTTTTGGAGGAGATGAAGCATCAAAGGACATCACTGGATTCGGATCAGTGAATAAAAGGTTTTTTTAACCCTATATGTGCAACAAGGAAGGGGGGAGCATGAGAGAGGGGGAGGACCAGAGGGTACTATATACAACTTTGTATTTCAAATACTATAGGTTCCCTTTAAAACTGGATATAGGTGTTAACATTAGTTTTCATTTTATTGGGTACTGTTCAAATTGACAAACTGTTCAATGGAAGCAGGAACAAAAATAAATAAGATTTGGCAGTATAGAGATTTTGTGTTAAACTATATAATTAGAGAAACCGGTTCATTTATGCTTCCTGGATTGACATCAAATGTAATACATTTGTTTTAGAAAGGTGCACACTCACACAGCTCCATGTTACACTGGCTAACACATGGATGTTCTCTGGAGAGCAAGAATCTAACATTGCAAAAGGTCAGTGAGCAGATCATATAGGGTTACACCTTGAACTTTATTTGCCAGGTCATGGCATTACCGCATTTAGTCACAAAGTAAATGTCTGCAGTGGTTTTATTGTATACTGTATTTTTTTTTTTTTTTTAAGTTTAGTGAAGAAAACCCATAAGAGCACAATTTTATTTTTAAAAGTGAGTGAATGGCATTCCCCTATGGTAGCATAGCATGTACATGCCCTGTGTGTTAGTGAACATATTCTGCAATGTTACAATGTACCAAATTGTAGTGAACTAGACACCATACTGCAAATTTGCATACCCTAAATTTTGCAGTTCAGTTTTCAATTCACTGCAGTTAGGTATTTAGTGAAAATATTATTTGTCAGAAAAGTCTACACACCTTTATGAAATGTAGGTGTTTAAAATGCAAAAACAGAAATATAAATTTCAGACTTATCTGTAATGCGATCTTCCAACAAACATAAATCCAGATATAAAATAGTTAATTAATATGAACATTTTAAATATTACAAAAATTTATAAAAGCAAAACCTCAAAACTTACAACACCCTTTCATGTGGACTCAAGCAGTGTTAACCAATCATATTCTAAAAATCATGCCCGTAGGTTAATAGCATACATACCTAAAACAAAACATATGAGAATTCTGAGAGCAGACAAAAGCTTAGAGAAACTCAGTTGCTTGCTGCTCAGCAAATCTCCATTCAGGTCTCAATGTTTTTGCTCACTTGTGCCACTAATAAGATAACCTATTCCAAGGCATATCAGACTAATCTTACCCAAAAGGGCAGTCCACAACGAAGTGGTGAAATCTAATTGTTTAAGGTACTAATTATGAGTGGGATATAAAAGAATAATAAAAAGGCACTGGATGTACTTTGAAACACTGTCAAAAACATTGTCATTAAGTGGAGAATATGTGCCACCGCAGAGGAACTGAAAATATCAGACAACGTTAATGAGAGGACAAAAACATACAAGGAAGGCTACCAAAAAGTCAAACGCAACATTGAAATAGCTATAGGAATTTCTGGTAGGTACCAGTCACTACTTGCGTGTGACCGCCATCTCTCATATTCTGTACATGTCTGGGCTAAGAGGTAGGATGGCAAGATAGAAACCCTTTCATCACAAAAAATAAACATCCGAGGCGGAGGGTAGCGTTTGAACCGGACGGTCGCATGGCCGTGGAGCTCCGGACCAGCGGACTAAATAAACACCTTTACCGACATCTCAACCTACGCCAACTTGCCGCAGGGAGACCCAGAAAACCCCCCGGGCTCCATGGGTCGGAAAAACAAGAAGGTGAAACCCGACAAGCCCCGTCAGGGCATGGACATCGGGGAACTATGGCGGCAGGCGCACGATGCAGCAGGAGCCAAAATGGCGTCCTTACACGGCGGCTGCTCCGACTTTACAGATGAGTCGTCGGAGGCAGACGAGGGGGATCCCATAGTGCCCAGGCATGACCCACTATCTACATGGGCACAGTCACCCACGAAAACCCCAACCCCTGTGACCATGGAGGCAATTGGGGCGCTTATGGCAGACCACCACAAGAAAATTGCGGATGATGTGGCCCTGCTCAGACAGGACATTAAAGGCATTACTACCAGGATGGGGGCAGTGGAAGCCACCTCTACCAAACACTCTAGTCAGATCGTGGACCTCCAGGCAACGATCCGGGACATGCAACAGAAAACCCGGCAACTTGAGCAACAACTCGCAGCCCACGAAGATAAGTCACGACGAAACAACATAAAGCTACGGGTGGTGGCCGACTCTGTTCCAGAGGCCGAACTCCCACATTTCATCAGGAGATTACTCACTGACCTGCTGAACCCAAAGGCAGCAAAAGCAATAACCCTGGAGGAAATATTCCGCATACCAAGACCAGCGAAGGCCCCAACTGCCGCGTCAGGGGATGTCATTCTCCAGTTTCAACTATTCAGGGACAAGAAAGCGATTATGGAGGTCGTTCGAGCTCAACCCACATACCCCTTTGAAGGAATGACCCTCTCCTTCTATTCAGATTTATCAGGCGGGACGCTGGCATGGAGGAGAACAATGAGCCCACTCACAGCACTCCTGCGCCTCCATCAAATCCGGTACCGCTGGGGACCTGGCCGTACTCTCAACATTGACAAGGAAGGCACCAAGCATGTAATACACGACATGCAAGAGGCCACCGGGTTACTGGGCTTACTTGGCCTCCCCACAGAACCATTAGTCCCGGCGACGCCATCAGCAGGACAAGCGCGCCAACACGCAAGATACTCTGCAAATGCACCAGAGTTTGTTCTGCGGAGACCGCCCGCGGATTCCTATGCCAAGGCCACCACCTGAAGTAGGACTTACCTCGTATGATCGGCAAAAGAACTGTACAGCGCCATGCTCTCCTCTCGAAGGGACGCGAGTCCAGGTTCACCAATGACCCAAAGTGTTTTTCTCTTTTTATTTTTTATTTATTTATTTTTTTATAGCGAATATCTTGATGTTAGAACATAGCCCTCCCACACTACATGCTGCTTACGCCTCTGAATACACTTCCAACCCTTGACTTCAGACGAACACGCTTAGCACTCAAAAACATGCAACCAGTACCTTAAGCATAAAAGCTCCGTTCTTTAAGAATGCAAAACTACACACCTATAAACTAAAGCGCAAATAGTTTTGCCACACGCATATCTAGCCTAGCATGTTAGACTACATAATACTGTTGCCTAATAGCCTGTTATCCTCAATGTTATATAAAAATGTGCTGTCTAATCTGCTACACTTTGAAATGTTATGAAAATGCTTGTGGAGGCTGTTGTGGCACTACACGCTTGTTGTCAAACTATGCACAAGAAAAATAAAGAATAAAAAAATAAAAAAAAAATAAACATCCAAGTCCATCTAAATTATACCAAATGTTTTAATCAGTCACACCAAGCAATGTGGGAAATTGTGCTTATGGTCTCATGAGAGAGAGGTTGAACTTTTCAGCCAAAATTGTAAAACTTATGTTTTTCACAAAACCAGTAAATGTCCATCATCCAGGGAACACAATACTGGCTGAACATGGTGTTGAAAGCATGCAATGGGGCAGTTTCTCTTCACCTGGGTCAGGGGCACTTATCAAGATACAGGAGATAATAAATAGCTAACGTTACAAGATAAAGTAGCAAAAACCTGCAGAAAGCTGAAGAGGAATTTCACAGCCCAACATTGACCCAAAGCACACAGCCAGGTCTACCAATGCATGGCTTCATTAAAAGAAAATCAATTTTTTGAAATTGCCCTGTTGGAGCCCAGACCTCAATCCCATCGAATATTTGTGATAGGACCTAAAGACAGCAGTATACAGATGCTCCACTTTCGATTTGAAGGATACTTTATTTTGCAAAGTAGTCTAGATGTGCAAAGTTAATGGAAACTTATTTACAAAGACTAGCAGCTGTAATACATGCAAATGTTGCTTCTACAAAGGATTTGTTGAATAGGGTGTGCAGACTTATGCAAACAGGGTGTTGCTGCTTTTTTGTTATTTATAATTTTCATAATTAATTTATTTTCCTTACATAAAATCTTGTAGGTAGTGCTTCTTCCTTTGACACCACTCTTTCTGTTCCAGCACACAGCTCCTATGCACACAAACACATGCTAAACATTTCTTGTTCTCTTCTGTGAGGAAAATGTGTTCAGCTAATGCACAGTTTTCTGAATACATCTCCAAAACTTTTAACTCTAGTAAACAATGCCTCAATGGTAGAAAAAAAAAAAAAAAAAAAAAAAAAAAAAAAAAAAAAAAAAAAACCTATATAACCCATGCAACAAAAAAAAAAAAATAAAAAAAATAAAAAACCACATACAAATACAGTTTCCAAATTTATTAGTGTGGGAAAACCATTCCAGAAGCCAGCTGTATTAAAGGAACATTCCAGATACATAAAGCACTTCAATTTGCTGAAGTGTTTTATGTGTCAGAATCTGTTCTATTAGAGACAGTTTATAAAAGTGTCAGTTTCAATGGAAATTGGCACTTATGTAGTTGGGAGGCGAAGGCACTTCTAGTTGACAGCATGGCTCAATGAGAAGCCTCTGATTGGTGTATTCCCTGGCACAAATTGAAAGTCTGAGGCAGGGAAAAATGAGAGGGCTTGCTGGCTGTTTTGCTTTTCCATATACCCACATAAGAAAACATGCAAGAAAAAAAAAAATATATATAATTATATATATATATATATATATATATATATATATATATATATATATATATATATATATATATATATATATATATATATATATATATATATATATATATATATATATTTTTTTTTTTATATATTACATGCATATTTTTTTGGGTGGGGTAAAATCTACTACAATAAATCAAAAGTGCTCCCCCAAAGAAATACGCCCTTTAGAGGGAAAGAGAGAGAAGAGCAAAAAAAATCAAATCTAATAAAAAAAATAAAAAAAAATAAATAAATTTAAAAATAAGAAAGAGAGTGTACAGTTTGCAAATGAGAATACTAGCATTTGCAAGCTACTACAAGAGGTCCAGATTTGAAATTTCTTAAATGAATCCAACAATTGCAATGTTGCCATTCTGGGAATGGTATGAAAATCACAAACAGCACTGTAAAGGAATAATTCTCACACTGAGAATAAAACAAGCTAACTGGGTATATTGTAGTAAACTATAAATCAGCCATGTCAAACCAGTGGCCCTGCAAATATGTTTGCGACCCACATGGCGCGGCGAGGGAGCACTGAGTGTAAGCTCTCCCTGCTCAGGCCGGAATATGACATCACTGCGTCTCGCAAGGGTGCTAAGCAGAGAGAGCTTACACTCAGCGCTCCCTCACTGCCAGTCCGCCCAGCAGCCTCACTAGACCCCAGTTAAGAAGCCATCCCAGTATGCATGTCTGGCTGTCTGCGTGTGTGTATGGCTGCGCGTGTGTATGGCTGCGCGTGTGTATGGCTGCGCGTGTGTATGGCTGCGCGTGTGTATGGCTGCGCGTGTGTATGGCTGCGCGTGTGTATGGCTGCGTGTGTATGGCTGCGCGTGTGTATGCGTGTCTGGCTGTCTGCGTGTGTGTATGGCTGCGTGTGTGTATGGCTGCGTGTGTGTATGCATGTCTGGCTGTCTGCATGTGTGTATGGCTGCGTGTGTGTATGGCTGCGTGTGTGTCTGTGTGTATGGCTGTCTATCAAAGTGTATGTGACAGTGAGTGTGTGTGTGAGGGAGCCTGTGTGTCTGTCAGTGAATGTGTGTGTCGAAGTGATTCTGTGTGTGTGAGGGTTTCAAGGAGTAACGGGAGGATCCACTTTAAGGTGCTATTGTTTTTTTGTTTTTTTTAATTTTTTTAAATTTATTTTTAAACAGGCGCAGGAGTTTAGTAGACGAGGGGGGTGAAAATTTACTGTTACGGCACTCCCGACATAAAGGAGTTAACCGCCGTTTAGAAGAGCTTCCCCTTGCAGAGGTATAGACACAGTTACTGTAGAACCCCAAACTCCCAAACTTGAACCAGGGGAATGCTCCTAACTCCCGAATGGTGAATTCCAAACGGTAATCTCACGAATAGCTGCTAGCTGACGAGCAGGCACAGCATCCAAGCGGCTTACACCTCCAGCAATCAGTCTCTAACCGCGTATAGTAAATCCCCCCAATCACAAGCCCAAGCTCCATATTGAGGGTAAAACAAGATCTGGCTTTAATGAGGGCTACCTGTCCGTATTTATGCAGGTCTCCCACCTGGTGGACACTCCCCTAGGGGACCAAATGGGAGACTGTAACAAAGGACAGACAGGTATCAGATCAGGACATACAGTCACAATACATCCCCACAATGAATCCTGGCTTCATCCTCTCTGCCCTGGAGATAATTCAATTATCTCCCAGGACAAAAGCAAATCGCCATTATGCACGTGGGGGCAACAGGAAAGAGAATTACTTTAAAATGTACAGTGTTACAAATGTTACAATAAATATAGACATGTAACATACCCCCAGATAGCTCAGGTCTGAGCGCACACTATTAGGTGAATGGCTCTCAGACCACAAAAATGCAGTTTAAATCGCCATGGAGCCAAAGTCTTTAATTCCACAAACAGGCTCCATGGCATAGCTATCCGGGTACCCTCACATAAAGTACAATATAAAAACACAAAGTCCCGAATGCTCCGCCGTTTGGTTCACGAACAGAGCTAAAGACCCGAAGGCTGGTAAGCTCAGCAGTGCTTGGGAAGAAAAAAGTGTCCGCTCTTGGTGTACTGAAGCTGGGCAGAGCACCGCTGGTTGTCCGGGGAGCTCTATAACACCGCCATCGTGTGTGCAGCCAGGTGTAGCCGCGACCACCCAGTAACAGTCAATTAAGCTGCAGTTAACCGCAGATACTGGGGTGGTCAATTGACGGCACACGCCAGCTTCCCGGTGGTTGCGTATTCGGTAGCTTTCGGGAAATAATACGGGAAAATAAGGGGAGTGCACGGGCAAAGAAACAACCATACAAACAGACGTATGGAGGAAGGAGAAACATAACCCAAAGACAGACTGTTCTGTCACATTTGCGTTTGTGTTTTGCGGCCCACATAAACTTAAACCTGGTTTATTTGGCCCTTGCTAGCCTTTGAGTTTCACATGCTTGCTGTAAATGGTACTTGGTAAGTACCATTTACATTTTAATACAATATTTGGAAAGATAAGACATTTTCACTCAACAGGGATATTCAGTAGGGTCACTTCAAATATAAAGCGTTTTTAAAAAGCTCAGACTGCCTGTGGTAAAGCACTAATAATGATGAATCAAGATGCAGTGCTAGACGTAATGCATGGTGAGCCAGGATCTCTAGATATGCACACAGGGTGTCAGTGACGAGAAAAGCCAAATGCAGGTAACCCACTATATGCATTGTGTTTGCACATAACACCTCTGCATAAGATTATTCAAGGCAGATGTGGAACAAACATGGTATAGGTAGGGTTTATTTTTGTTTTTTTAATGAAGTGTATGAAAAAATAAAATCTCATATTATATAACAGGATCCTCCAGCCAACATGCACTTTGGGTCACACAGTGATTGGTAATTGACAGTCTCTAAAGTTTTTCCTGCTTTTGTGCAGTGAAGACCATAGAGACTAAGTGATCATCAACAGCTTCTTCTTTCCTCCCTCAAATATTGGTACTCCAGTGTCTGTCTCCCTCCAACTTAATGGCGCTGCCATAACCTCTACCTCGCTGCCTATGTGTTGTCTTTGACTCAGACCTCTCCTTCACCCCTTATGTCCAGTTAATTCCCAAATCCTGCAGCTCCATTTAAAAAAAATGCCCATATTTAACACAGGATGCAGCTAAGGTGCTGGTCCATGCCATTGTCGCCCGCTAGCCTGGTTACAAATATGTGTGTTAGTCCACCCATTGTACAGCGTTGTGGAAGTTATCATACTAAAAACCGATCATACTAAACGTAGGTATGGCTTTTCCCAATTTTGTAAAATGTTTACTTAATGTGAAAAAACTAAATCCATTTCCTTCAGAACTTGATGAAAATAAAATAAATACTTTGAGGTAACAGTTGCCCTTTAAAAGAATGCTGGATATACAATATTTGCTAGAAAAGTATCACCCACAATACATATGATTTTAAAATACACCAATGTAACTTTAGCAGGTACACAAAATGATCACACAGCCTATCACACACAAATACTATATTCTCCCTTAGGATTATGTGTACAATTAAATTAATTGGTCAGCATTTGTGGTCTGCTGCATGCCAGGAATTTGTACATGGCCTGATTCTAAAATTGTTTTAAATGATCAACTAAGCTTAGCCATGTGCCCCATCAGCCAAGTTAAACAAAAGGAAAAACTTAACTCTCGGCGCACTAGAGAATTGTATGTAACACTTAACAGTAAAATAAACAGAATGTTTGTATTAGCCATCTTTTCTACGCTAGACTATTTTATATGCCAGAATGGCATTTTACAATAATTTCAATATAAACGTTCAAAGGAGATATAAATCACTGGTTTTGTCGTGAACAAACCTGCTCAGACTGGAAGGAGGTAGGAACAATAGCTCTATGTTCTTTATATGAAAGGTAACAATTTAGTTATTATAATTTTACAACTAGAGCAGCCATTTTCGTATAGAGTGTATGAAAAGAACAGGTTTATTTTTCCTCTCCCTCTTATATTATTATACTGCTAAAATATAGATTTAAAAAAAAAATTTAGGCCATACATTCTAGGGATACACTTTGCATGAAATATTCTACTAGTTCTTTTAAAAGCTGTTTTCATGGAACACAAATGGGCATTGCAATTTTGCTAGGATAATTGCTTTGTTTTTAAAGGGATACTATAAGTATCCAGACCACGTCATCTCCATTGCGTGGCTTGGTTTGGGTGTGATTGCCCTGTAATATTATTAACCCTGCAATGTAAGACATGGCAGTTTTGTAGAAATTGCAATGTTTACATTGTAGGGTTAAACACACCTCTAGTGGATACCTCTGCAATAAAGTTTATTAAGAGAATTGTTTTGTTCTTAAAAGGGACACTATAGGCTCACAGACCACTTCATCTCAATGCTGTTTTGTCCCTGCAATGTAAAACACTGTTCTGCAGAATCGCAAGTGTCACAGTGATAGCCACTAAAGGCGCTTCTGACGAAACAGCCAAGTAAAACTCTGCTTTTTCAATCAGATGGTCTCATATAGATTTGCTCAGCAGAGCATTTTCTAGTCTCCCAATCCTTTCCTATTTGAAAACATTGGCCGGTCATCAATCTCAATGATCTCAGCAAAGGAGGTGGGGCAGAAGCGCAGAAACCAGCACTGCATGGGAGAAAAAGTGAGTAAATCTTTAACTCATTCAACGGACGCATATGGTTAGGAATAAAATCTTTATAAACATAAGGCCCCTCCTCTTTGCAGTGGAATACAGGAGTGATGTCAAAGGAGTGACATTATGTGCCAGAACCATTGGAAGGAGAATTCGGCTCAATGCATGGTTTTTAAGCAGTGTCTATCATATAGGAGAGAGTGAGACATATCTTGTCCCATGTCCATAGCCAGTGTGAGTAGTGATATGACAATAAATATAGTTCAGAAATATTTGGGGTGCAAGCTTGGCCATTAATGCCTTATAACTTCTTGATTTTTCACTTCTCTCAAAATAACATTTAAAAAATAAAAATAAAAAATTAATTATTCACCCCCCCTGATTGAAGCGTATCTCCTTTTGTACACAGACACAGGTAAATTTATCAGGACAAAGTACCTTTCAGAGGAGAAAGATAAATTAATGTGAGACGAAACCCTGCCAGTCAGGTCAAGAAGGATGCCCCATGAAGGTAAAGTTTTTGCAAGGTTATAGGTCAACTTTAAAAAGTAAAATGACTAACAAAACAAGTCTTGATCTTTAACATTTAAACTATATACATAAATAAAAAAAATACACATACCTTCCAAATGTTTTAGTAATGCCCTTGTACTATTACCATGTGCAGATATAAGAATATTTTTTCCTTTTTTTATTTCAGGTGCAATTACATCGTTCCAGTAGGGTAGTAGCCTTTCCAAAACATGCTTCAAGCTTTCAGATTTTGGTAATTTTTCTTTCTGGGTATCACAAAATGAATATCTCCGATCTGTATGAATTACTTGGTAATAAGGATGGGTCTCATCAATTGGTGGTGGTGCAACATCATAGCTTCTTCTCCAAATCTTCACTTGTTCCTCTCCATGGTTCAGTGCCAATTCAGCCCGGTTGAGGCCTATTAGTGCTCCATAATGTCGCTCATTCAATCTCCATGAACTCCGTATTGGAACCCATTCTTGTCCCAGCTCCTGCAACACTAGCCACGCAGTTTGTATGGAACGGCTCAGGATCGATGTGAACACCACATCAAATTCAAAACCCAATGACTTTAAATGTTTCCCACACATTTCAGCTTCTTTAAGTCCATCCGCACTCAGCTTTTGGTCAACCCAACTGCAAAAGCGGTTTTCTATGTTCCAAGCTCCCTCACCATGCCTCAGCATAACCAGTTTATACTTTGACATACTTGATAGTGGGCTCACCTCCTGGAAGATAATATGGCAGTGGAGAAAACACGATCTAGAGAAAAAAAAAAAAATAAACACAAAAGCCGATATATATGTGCACTAAATTCAGGCTCAAAGTTAGGTCTGTGAAAGACAGACAAAAGAGCAAAGCATTCAAACTCACAACAAGAATTCTTAATGGTTAAAATACAATGCATAATACAAAGACAATTCGACCGAATGAAATGAGAAGCAAAAAATATGTGCCATCAAGTCTGTTGATGTATTGTAGGAAAACAGACAGACAGAGGTACACTTGATATAACATAGCAAGGCAAAAAGAATCTCATGTCAAGATCCCACAGTCAAAAAGATACCAGAAGGAAAAACAAAACAAAAAACATACATGGTGACAACACGCATCTCTCTCAGATACTCTGACTGTGGCATCTTGGCATGAGATCTGTGTTGACTTGCCATTTCATACAAGGTGTACCACTGTCCATGTTTATTTTTGCTACAATAAGTCAACACAATTGATGGTGCATATTTTTGCATCTCATTCCATTCTGCAGATATTCTAATAGTGCATTTGCAGTCTTTGTATTATGTACCAAGAGAGGAACTATGACCACCACCACTTGAGAGGCCCACTATGTAATGGAGGTAAAGTGAGTAAATTATATCCTGATCACATTTGAGGTAGCAGCATAATTGTGCTGTCTTTTTATTACAAAATTTTTTGTTTGTTTTTTAATGCATTCCTGTGTATGTGTATAATCTGGAGTCATCAGTAAACCAAATCCCAACCAATTGCAAATAAGAATTTGAGTCATATATTCCTGAACAGTTTCACACAATTTTCTTTTAAAAGACTACTTCAGGCACTCAGACCACTTCATGTCAATTAGGTCTGGGTGCAGTGGTCCTGTAGCTTTAGTCCAGCAATTTAAAACATTACAATTTCTTAGGTACAACAATGTTACTGATGTCTACTACAAGCACTGCCTGCAATAACAGTCACAATGGGTTCTTCAATCAATGCTTCTCAGAGAGAAGTTGACTGGACAAGTGCTACATTTTACGGTGTATGCGCTACCCCTCCTCCATGCAGATAAATTCTAGGACTGGGGTGCCACTGATTGGTAAAGAAGCGCCAAGGACCTCCTAGAGTCATAAATTTAAATTGTTATTGTGCCATGGGTATATAAAATGTAAACTGTCTCAGCAGAAAAAGGTTGCTGTAACAGAAGAGAGCATATACTCCAAAAAATAAATAAAAAAATTATATATATCAAACACTATTTTTTCAACATTAAATAGGTAAACTACCTCAATATAATTTTACCTCCTAAGTAGTAAAATGTTTTTTTCAGGCTTCTGAGTTTTGACCAACATTTGTCAAAGATATACTGCAAGAGCACATTATGCTCTGCCTTCTCTAGCATTATGGGTTTAGCCCTTGAGCCTTGTGAAAGCAAAAGGACAGGCAGTGAACATTCTCTTATTGCCAACATTAAGGCAGCTGACTTCACCATTGAGCCCAAAATTGTATTTACATAGGGATATAGAGGATTTGCAATATACATCGTGTCGTGTACTTCCTCCATTGCTCATTAACCCAAAAAGGGAATGAAAGCTGAAGAGTTTCAGGCCTTAAACATGAAGGGAACTGAATTTTTTAAAAGTTTTCAAGCTGCCAAATAAGTAAAGTGAATAACTCCTTCCATACTTTGTTGTAGGTCATTTACTTTAGGTAACAACAGCTTAATGTAGTGGTCTGGTGTCTATAGATTAAAATAAACTCTGCCTTTTCAGAGAAAAGGCAGTGTCCTCCACATTGCTGCCTAGTAACACCACTAGTGGTCTACCTACATTCAGCATCTTCAAGCTTAGCATGGAGGCACTGAACATTCCCCATAGAGATGCATTGATTTATTGCATCTCTATGAGGAAATTCGGATCGGTAATTGATAATCTTAGCTATGGAGGCTGGCCAGCTGCAAAAGACCAACATGGCGTTGGAAAAAAGGTGAGTAAGAACATCGTTCCCATGAGATCAGAGGGGGCTGGTGACGTAAACGTACAACCCCCCCAACACACACACACCCACCCCAGACTGACACACACACACACACACACACACACACACACACACACACACACACAACCACCGACCACTCCCCCAACCCCTCCCTCCCACCCCCAAAATTTATGGTGGCGGCCCTGCCCCACACACACCCCAGACAGACCCCCCCAACACACACACACACAGTATTATTTGATACACTCAAATGCACACGCACACACAAAGATTCACAGATGCACACAGATACAAACAGACATAACAGATATACACACACACACAATTTAAATACATATTTTTAGCCACCCTCCTCTTTCCTACCTTTTTGGCTCAGGTGTGTGGCTTCCCTGGGGTCCAGTGGGACTGGGCAGGAGCAAATGACAATAGGTTAGTGGAGGCTAATGCAGCTGATGGGAGCAGCTGCCGGTGTTCCAGACTTCCCCATCTCCTGTCTTCAGCCCTGTGCAGATCTCTGTGGGCCAGGAGGAAGTGAAGGGAACTGTGATTACTTCATACTGGCGCGCAGGGATAATGGCGGGCACCCGGCTCTGCTTAAAGAAGCGGAGTGGAGGGTCGGCTCTGAGGACAGCGGCTCGACATACTTGCGGGCCGACTCTGTAAAATGGGAGTCGGCTGACCAGCTTTGTGCAATGTGGGTGGGCGGGCTCAGAGGAATGCGGGCGGGCGGCAAGCTGGCAGTCTTTAAATGCTGCCTTCAAGCTTGCAATTCCCCTGCAGGAGGAAACGGGCCAACCAATTCCAGGCGCCGAGGCAAAATTCTTACTCGCCATAGTAACCTGGGATTTGTCGAGCCCTGGTGTAAGGGATGCATTGTTTGCTTATGTGTATGTGTGCAAGGTTGCATTGTGTGAGTTTGTAAGGTATGCATAGTGTGTTTCTGTGTGATTGTAGGATGCATTGTATGTTTCGGTGTGTCTGTGTCCCCTAAACCCCCCTGCCCCTTCATGCTCCCCACGCCACACTAAGTGACTGGCAGGAGGAAGCGCTATGAAAAATGTTACTCTCACAAATTATTAACGGTAAGATCATCAAGCGAAGACTCCACACTGCTAACACTTTCAGTGTAGATATTTTTAAGCCTTTAAGTCAGATCCTAAATACAGAACAGTACTACATACATGGAGGTGAGATATTATAACTAGAAAAGAAAGAAAGTTAGAAAGAAAGTTATAAAGAAAGAAAACTGATCTGTAGACCTAAGCCTTCCAAATCAGCCTGCACAAATCAATGTGTGCTTTTGTTTCATGCTACAACGAAATGGCAATTTTAAATAAATGGTTCACAAAATTGCCCATTTAAACTACAGTTGTGCTCAAGTTTGGAGGAGGTTTATTAAAGAAGCAAATAGGCATACATCCCAACATTTCAAATGGACACATTGGGACACTTTAGCTGTAGTTATGTTAATGGAGGTGTGGCTTGGGGAGAGTCTGTTCTGATAAACTGAAAGTGTCTTACTAAAAACAATTTCTGCAATTAGCCCCTTAATGACCACCTGAAGGTCTAGGATTCTAGGCAGTTGAGCATTGCAGGGTTTTATTGTACCTACAGGGCATAGACCTTCTAGCAGTTATAGTAACAGCAGAGATTAAGTATCAAGATACCAGAGGGTTTCGCTGTCAGCCAGAGTTATAGCCCAAAGCCACCTCCCCAATAGGTGTCAAGGAGTCCCTCGGGTGAGATCTGTCTGCATGGTCCTTGCTACTGGGTTGGTGATGGGCTTTCATCTGCAATCACACGGTACAGAGGATTTACAGAGAGGTGAGATTACCCAGTGTTTTAGTGGTTGGATTATGGGAAGAATCAAGGGCAAATACATACATGATGGTTATTGTAATAGAGAACCATAGCACAATACAAATATTGTTTGCAGTAGAAAAATTTCCACAAAATAAAACATGGGGAGGATTAAAACACAGCTTCACCAGAATCTTTTGTTCCAGAAATGGTAAAGGCATTCTCAGCTAACAGACATGAACTGACAAAGCCTGGGCGGGTTTGATGAGATTTCCGACAGCTTCTGGGCAATAATTAAGGCCCGCATGTCTACAACAATGTCTCGACATCTGGAGTGGCTTAAGAAGCAGTGGTGCATGGGACGCCTTCCGTTGACGCTTATGCAGAGGAGCCCGTTTTTCTCGGCTCTTGCCTGTCCAGGCCGAAGGCCAACAGGGGCTCAACCCCGATGCATCATCCACGCAAGCAGAAGTCCCATCGCTGCAGACCGCGACAAAACATCAATGCCTTCTGCTTTTTTCCTACTCTAAGAGCCTCCGAGTCAGTGGCTCAGCAATGCTGGCCTTTCCTCAGGCCTGAAGCTGGTGGGATAGTCCAGCTTCCTCCTGTCTTGCCGCCATTATCTACAACCTCCCTGCAGCATCTACTCGACTTGCAAATCTTGGTATTGAATGACAACTGCCTTTATATTTAGAGAAGTAGTCCTCTTTAATCCATTCTGAACTTTCCCAGCTAGTGATGGATGCTATCCTGCATCTATTCGACATTTCAGGCCTTCCAAGCCTAGCTGCTGACCTGTCATGTATATTTTTCTTTTTCCCTTTTGAATATGGGTTCAGGCAGTGCAGTGTGTTTATAGTGGGTTCAGACTACCGTGGTTATTTCAACCTTGTATTTCACCCAGCATCTCTCTGCTACTTGGAGATTTACCATGTCAGCATTTTTTGTAGCCATTGCATGTTTGCAGACATATAAATCTAGCTAGACTTGCATTTACATGGCTTTACATATGAAGTGCTTCACATGTCATGCCTTTTCTGCAACAAATTGTATGCCTGATCTTTCTTGATCTATTCTTTACAACTGAGGCAGATCTTCCATCTACATTTCTAGCATACTTTTCCATTTTCAGGTATAGCACCTACTGTTAGTAAAGACATGCTGGTTTAGACTGTCTTTGCTTGTTTTCATTATATAAAAATGAAGTACTACTAATCTACTGTTACTTATCTGGCAAATTCTGTACAATGTGTATTACATATCTAACTGCTTGACCGGTTTTCAGAAAAAATAAAAAATAAAAACAATAAAAAAATAAAATAAAAAAATCAGTGTTTACATTACTGCCTAGGAACACCTCCAGTGGCAGTCCCTCAGATGGCCACTAGAGGTGCTACCTGGGTAACTGCTGAACAACGTGCAGCACCGACATTCAGAATCTCCACGCTCTGTTTGGAGGCGTTGAAAGCTCCTCAAGGATGCATTCATTCAAAGCATTTCTATGAGGAGATGCTGACTGGCATAGCATGGTGTTTTGCCGCGCATGTGCAATAGACTCCCAATGCATTCTTATGGGAAAACATTGGATTGGCAGAGATCGTCAAGACTGATGATCTCAGCCAAGGAGGTAGGACACATTTTACTCTTCTGACAGGGGGGCAGTATGATAATTTCACTCTTGACAGTTTGTAGCGGTCAATAAACAGTGAGATTAGCCACTCAAACTCACAATATAGTATGAATATGTATAAATAAATAAATAAATAAAAAATTTAAAAAAAAACACAAGGTGATAGTGCATCTGTTTTAGACATAAGCCATCATGTGTCAGCACAGTGTATAGATGTGGTCTGCAACGGCGGATCTACCTGCACGCTAAGCCCACATAATATCAGGTAATATCCTGCCAGCTAACGTAGAGTTGTGCAGGATGAGATGAAGCGGTGGGGGGGAAGGCTGGCGAAAACTGACTCCCAACAAACCCAGCCAGCAGATATGCCAGTGTGTGTATGTATATATTAGAGATATATATAGAGATATATATATATATATATATATATATATATATATATATATCTATCTATCTATCTGTGTGTGTGTGTCAGTGTTGATATCGGTGTGTCTGGGAGTGCATGTGTATATGTGCATACATCTCTGCATGCCAACACTACACACAAATATACCGCTGTATTAAAACACCAAGTAGTATATATAAACACACCCCTACATTCAAAAGCAAACACTACACACAAGTACACCACTGCTTCAAATGGCAATAGTACATAAAAACACAACTTCATTCAAATGGAAAAGTACACAAAAATACACTCCAACATTCACACACACACTTAACCCATACAAAAACAAGCCTACATTCGAACAAGTCTCAGTGCTAAACACAACCATGCATGGATAAGCAAAATGGTAGATTCCCAGCTGGCAAAGCATTGTGGGATTTGCACAACAATGAGGATCTACTTTTTGGCCATCCTTCCAAAAGAGGGGCCCAAATAATTATTGCACCAGGAACCTCTCTGATATTTCTGCCAGTGGTATGCATGGATTAAACAGCTACCAAATGTTTTACACAGCTTATTTGCAGAGAACTAGAAATACTTTACTTGGTTCTAAAGTATCTCAAATCTAGGACAATAGGAGTTTCTGAGAAATGATTGCATGACCCTTAACCATGCAGTTGCTGAAGATGGTCTAACATAGGGCCTTGTATATTTGAGCAGTGTTTCACAATAAGATTCAAAGTTCAATGCTTCTAGTTTAAAAAAAACAAAAAACAAAAAAAAACACTTCATCCTGCTGTAAAGCTTTACAGGTTAACATGCTGTGCCCTTGGTCTTATTTCACAAAATAGCTCATTTCAAATGTAAATGGTGTCTCTAGAATCCCTTAGTAACAACTGACATCCCAGAATGGTTCCCTTCCTCACTCCCTTAGAAAACATGCTCATGTATATACAACCTGCAGCCCAAATTCAGCCCATGAATGCATGACCACTAGCCCGCAGTCCTTCGCAAACAAAGTTACACGTAACAATAACTGAGCATGTGCGTCTGCCCTCAAATAAAATCTCAGCAGTCAATGTAAACGCGTCAATTGTAGGCCCCGTTATGCGAAAACTGGCAACAGGTCTCTTCATCAACTTTACAACTTGGGTCATGTGTGAAGGTTGAGAAATAGTGGAATTGAAAATGATACATTGCTCATACATTACTCATACATTACCTTGTGTATGAATGGTGGGGAGTTGAACTGCAGCCTGGCAAAGAAAGCGGTCATCTTCCACGTATATTGCTAAGAGGAGGACTGCCAGTGTAAAATAGGGGGCTATGTAGAGCTAGATGAGGAGTGTGAAAAAGGCATAGTCACAGAAAAAGAGTAATGTGAAGAGACACAAGGCAGGGGGTGATACAAGGAGTGATTGTAAAGGTTGGGGAGAGACACATGGGAGGTGTGGCAAAGGCAAAATTGGGGAGCATGAGATGAGATTTCAATCTTCAAGGAATTCTACAGATTTCAACCAGGTGCCTGCAAGCAATGACTAGGGCATCTGGGCGTGTTCTGTATGTCAGACGTGGTCATGTAACCAGTGATTTATAATCAAACCAGAAATGTAAGTAATCTATGGTGTCCTGGCGTTTCCAATTCATTTAAAACCAGTTTGTCTCATTATGTGTAATTATAAATACTCTTTTTTTACGATTGAATAATTAACTTAGCATTTTATTGGTTGTATTATCCTGTGATGCTTTGACATTCCTTATATGTGGGAATATGATTGGAGGGATGATTATGTTAGACAATTGCTTAATTATTATGTAATTAATTGATTGTAGTAGTTCACATGTTTTATCACTTGTTAATTATTTTTGCACCTATATATTGTTTGTAAGAAGTGTGTTTAGTAGCTTGACAAAGGCCCTAAGGGGTCGAAACGTTGCATTTTGGTTCTTGGGTCCAATAAAATTGCCTATTCTTTGGAACATTTTGGAGTGCCTGGATTACTTTTCTACTAATATATGATATGATATATTTGGTCTCCTTGGTACTGGGACTGATCCAAGAGCACCCTAGGATTCCAGGGCGAAGGGCTGAGTGCAGTTCCACAACTTGTCTATGGATCTCCAACAGAGTGGTGAGGTGGAGGGAAAGATCTTATGCAGTCTGGTCGGCACCACGTACCAACGGTACAGTACTTTACGGTGCTGTTCAATGTGGGATGTCGATTAGTAATTTGAGTGGGTCGGATAGAATAGTGTCCCAGGATTTGGGTGGCACTGTACAGCGAAGATCGCTCTCCCATTGTCGGGCATATTTGGTAGTGAAGAAATGGCTATAATTTGCTATGGAGCTAAGACACATGGAGACCGGTTTACAATGAGGCAATAATTTTGCAGTTATACACATTTGTTCCCATGCAATAATCCTATTTGCATCCCTGGAAGTGTCTAAGCAGCGTTTCACTTCTCTGGACATATAGGATTTTAGTTGGAGGTATGAGTACAGCGAGGACTGTGGCAGTGCATATATAGCAGCTAAGCTTGTGTAGTCCAGGAGTCTATTAGCAGTAAATAGGTGTTAAAGGTGCGTTGCGCCTTGGCGGTGCTGCCCAGCCTGGGTCTGTATTTATCCAAGATCTGAAACAACAACAGCATCTGAAGGGGAAGCAAGGGTAGATCAGGTCTGAGGTATGACGAGTCCAAAGCAAGTGTGGGATTTCACGATTGCCCAATTGATCTCGCTCTAGTAAAACCCATTGTGGTCTGGGCTCAGAGATGATATGGGGGATAGCCATGGCTGATACTGCTGCGTGGTAATAGGCTTGGACATTGGGCAATGCCAGACCACCCAGTTTTTTGGGGGCTTGTAATACTCTGGTTTTGCCTCCCGCCCACACAAACTTACCCAGGTCAGCCTGAATGGTCTTGAAATACGAGGGAGGGAGGCGGAGGAGGAGGGTGTGGAAGAGGTACAGTAGTCTTGGTAATATGGACATTTTCAGCATCACTATGTGGTCTGTCCAGGGTAGGTACATCGGTGATGTAGCTGACTGCACTTATTCCAAACGGAGACATAATTTGCCACCATGAGGTTTGCGGGGTTTTTGGTAATGGTCAGTCCTAAATAACATACGGATTCAGTTCTCCAGTCCAAGTCATAGGTTTGCATGAAGGTGCGGAGCACCAGGGCTGGGATGCCAATAGGCAGGACCTGCATCTTGGGCGCGTTAACTGAGTAATATGAGACCTGTCCATAAGCCTTAAGCAGCTGTAGTAGTGTAGGTAGGGAGTCTTGGGGGTTCACTATATACAGTAATAAGAAATCTGCAAATGCGCTGATCTTAATCTGCCTGTCTCCCAGGTGTGTTCCATGTATTGTCTCGTTTTGTTGTATAAGGTGCAGGAGCGGTTCCAGTGCAAGGAATTATAAAAGTGGGAATAGGGGGCACCCCTGTCTCGTCCCATTTGTAATGTCCAAGGTGGGTGATAAAAAAAAAAACGGCCTGGTTTACCTGTGCTGAGGGCGAGGAGTATAGTGCAAAGATTTGTCGGATTATTTGTGGGAGGGGGGGAATCCGAATTTGTCTAATACTTTCAGGAAGGCCCAGCCGAGGCGGTCAAAAGCCTTCTCCGCATTCGGCATTAAGAGGAGACCCTCTCGACCAGATCTCCCGCACTCCCGTTGTACGAGTGCTAGTTTTTGGGTATTGTCTAAGCCTTGTCTGCCCCTCACAAAACCAGTCTGGTCATCATTAATCAAATGTGGTAGGATTGTGCTCAGTCTATTCTCAAGTATTTTTGCTTCCGTGTTGAGTAAAGATATGGGTCTATAGTTCGTATCTAGGGGTTTGTCAGGTTTGGGGATTGTCACTATTGTAGCCAATGAAACCTCAGGGGGCAGGCTGCCGGTAGTTGCGGTCTGCTGGTACACCTCCAGAAGCTGCAGAGCCAGTGTGGCATCAAACTCCTTATAGTATGCGTTGGAGAGTCCATCTGCACCTGGGGACTTCCCCGGGAGGAGCTGTTTAATGGTTTGAGTGATTTCTTGTACAGCGATAGGCTGCAGTAGGGCTTGGCATTGTTCATCTGACAACCTGGGCAGTGTGACGTCTGCTAGGTATTGGGCGGCTTCAGAGGAATGGGGGTGGGACCTAGTGTCATCCATTTGGGAGGTTGTAAAAAGCTGCGAACGCAGTGCTAATCGCTTGTGTTTATTACCGTCGTCTATTATATGGGAAATTTTAGTCTGGGTCAATCTGGCCCTGATCCTTGCTGCTAAGTATTTGATGGCTTTACCAGAGGTGTGATATGTGGTGGCTCTGAGCTTATCTGAGCAGCAGTGTGATCCGGCTTATCCAGACCCAAACGGGATGGGGGGCGGCTTTGAGGATCTCCATAACCCAGAGTCACTTTGGTCTTAGGGCCCAGTTGGGGCTACTGGGAAGCCTAAGGAAAGGTGGGGTAGCACTTTGTGTGCGGTACATAAGTATATATGATACACCCTAGTGTTAGAGTTGATCAGCTAGTACGTATTCAGGGTACCGGATAGGAGTTTTGTTTTGCGTGTAACTCTAATCGCCTCTGTGCTCTGCACATCTAATATACGATCTGTTAAAGATCTTTGCGAATCGGGCAGTGTCGGATTCTAACCATAGACGCAGAGAGTCAGATTGTTAGTCCACTCTAAACCATGTAAAAACAAATAGAAATACAGGTCATATCTGAAAAATTTAGAATATCGTGAAAAGGTTCATTTAGTTCAGTAATGCAACGTAAAAGGGGAAACTAATATATGAGATAGACATATTACATGCAAAGCAAGATAGTTCAAGCCGTGATTTGTCATAAGTGCGATGATTATGGTTTACAGCTCATGAAAACCCCAAATCCACAATCTCAGTAAATTAGAATATTCACAGTTCACACTGTCTTTTTTAAGTCCACTCCTTTAAGAATTGCCATCATCTATCTCCCGGACATCCTAGGCTATTCATTGAACAATTTTCTTCCTGGCTGAAACCCTTTGGCTGTCCAATACATTCCCTTTATATTATTGTTGGAACTTAAGAGTTTTTCCTGTGCCTGGACTATACAGATTTGCATACAACCATATGTGGCCATACTAAGATTCATCAAGTTGTTCGGTAAAAAGATGTACTAGTCTGCATGTGAACTGCTGTATTCACCATCCGAACTAAAGTTCCGAACAACCGGACCACCTTGGTGTGAAGTGTGGCTGTAATTTACCTCCATGTATGCTCGTTCCATTCCCCTGGTTTAAACACACGAACGCTCTGCTGTACTTCCTGGGTGGCCGCCATTTCGGCAGCCGAACACGTGGCGGCGGCCATCTTAAACTCCCGAACAGCGGTGTTTGGCCGTCGAGTGTCTGGAACTCAAATCAGATACTTGACTAACCGAACACCATTAAGACCTCCAGGACTTAAGAAAGTACCGATTAAAACACACGAACGGCCCGTCGTTCGGTAGGATGAATCCCACGAACTAGGGGATTCATCCGAATGCGAACTCAACCATAGATGGCATAGACTTTCGGGACTTTTGATGCACGAACAGAGACCAACCGCAGGGCCAAAACTCATTGAACTATTTTTGGCTACTTTGCCCGTGCGGTCGGTCAAATCTTGCGTCCTCATAACTCCCGAACCCCTGGTCTGATCTGGGTGATTTTTGAATATGTTTCTCACCCAGATCAGGGCTACCACATTTAAAGGTGTACCTACCATATTTGGGGTACATCCAAGAATTGGGGAAAAGTATGCACATTATAAATTATGTTAACTGTTAAGCTAAGTGGAGGAGATGTGTGGGAGGTAACGTCTATGTGATTGGTTACTGTAGCAATTATGGTGGATACCTCCCTTGCATGGGAGAATCCCATAAAAGCAGGAAATGTGACATTAAACTTCAGTTCTACTCCTGATACTGTGTGTCGTCCAGTGATTGGGAAAGGTGATGGGATATTATTGGATTGCCTTGCTGATTGTGCTTGTTACCCTATTGGATTTACTACTTGTTCCTGAATTATTCTAATACACCAGTGGAGTTAAGCTGTGGGAAATCAGCTACATACCCCACTTTCTATCCTCTAGCACTCCCTACCTCATACTTGGAGACTTTAACATCCCAATCAATAACCTCAACTGCCCTGATGCCTCCCCGTAACCTCCTCCTTTGGCCTCACGCAGTTGTCAAATTCAGCAACTCATACAGCAGGAAACACTCTTGACCCCCACCCCATGACTCCGTTCCTGCACCTGTCAAAAATGACCTACCAAGCACTCCATAAACCCTTCTGTAACAAACTATTTAATTCCCTTACTTTAACCCTTTGTGTCACTATACCCCACTCCCTCTAGCATGTAAGCTCATCAAGCAGGGTCCTCAACCCCCTCTGTTCCTGTACGTCAGTGGTCTGATCTCAATTATGTGTCTGTTAGTCCACCAATTGTACAGCGCTACGGAATTTGTTGGCGCCATATAAATAATAAAAATAATAATAAGAGGCAGAGAAAGAAACACTGAAAGAGCACTGGTAGGAGGAGTATCAGTAGCAGTATCCCGTAGACTAAAATTACGGAGGATGCGAAGAAGATGATGATCAACAGTGTCAAAGGGAGCAGAAAGGAGAATTAGGATAGAGTAATGGCTGCGAGATTTAGCAGCAATTAAATCGTTTGATACTTTGGTCACAGCTATTTCGACAGAATGACCAAAACAGAGTTGGGTTTATTAGCTAATGAAGACCAGGAAAAAGCAGAAATTTTAAATAACTATTTTCTTCAGTATATATTAATAAGGATCCTATGGCAAGAGATATGCAAATGTTTGCTGCAAAAAACTTGCAAATAACTTGTGACTGGATAACTCGAGACAAGGTGCTACAGCTATTAAAGAAAATTAATGTAAATAAAGCTCCGGGGCCTGACTGTATTCACCCACGAGTACTTAAGGAGCTAAGTGGGGAAATAAGTGAACCTCTGTATTTAATTTTTCAAGATTCTTTTGTTTCAGGTGTTGTACCGGAGGATTGGAGGAAGGCAGATGTTGTTCCTATATTTAAAAAAGGGTTCAAAATCCTTGCCTGGAAATTATAGACCTGTGAGCTTAACTTCAGTAACTGGGAAAATATTTGAAGGGCTATTAAGGGATAATATTCAGGAATTCATTGGGAAGAACTTTGTTATTAGCAATAATCAGCATGGTTTTATGAAACATAGGTCATGTCAAACTAACCTAATTGCATTCTACGAAGAAGTAAGTAGAAGTATAGATCAGGGTGTTGCAGTGGATGTGATCTACTTGGACTTTGCCAAGGCATTTGATACGGTTCCTCACAATAGGTTAGTCTTCAAACTAAAAGAAATTGGTCTAGATGAATATTCCTGTTCTTGGGTAGAACATTGGCTTAAGGACAGAGTACAACGAGTTGTCATTAATGGTAAATTTTCAGGCTGGACAAAAGTGGTAAGTGGTGTCCCTCAGGGTTCTGTTTTGGGAGCACTTCTATTTAAAATATTTATAAATGATCTTGATATAGGCATTGAAAGCCATGTATCAGTATTTGCAGATGACACAAAACTTTGTAAAGTAATAAAATGTGAGCAGGATATTGCTTTGTTGCAGAGAGATTTGGATAGATTGGGGGACTGGGCACTAAAATGGCAGATGAAATTTAACATAGAGAAATGCAAAGTTATGCACAAGCAACTTACACACTAAATGGTAGTGAATTAGGGATAACCACACACGAGAAGGATTTGGGCATTGTTATAGACAACAAATTAGGCAGCAATATGCAATGTCAATCTGCAGTTGCTAAGGCCAGTAAGATTTTGTCATGTATAAATAGGGGCATAAATTCTCGGGATGAAAATATAATTTTGCCTCTTTATAAATCGCTGGTAAGACCACACCTTGAATATGCTGTGCAATTTTGGGCGCCTGTTCTAAAGAAGGATATCATGGCACTGGAGAGGGTCCAGAGACGAGCTACAAAATTGATAAAAGGAATGGAGCATTTTAGTTATGAAGAAAGGTTACAAAAATTAAATCTGTTTCGTTTGGAAAAACGGCGCCTGAGAGGGGATATGATAACTTTATACAAATATATTCGGGGCCAGTACAAACCTTTATCTGGAAATCTATTCATAAACAGGGTTATACATAGGACACGAGGTCACACATTTAGGCTGGAAGAAAGGAGATTTCATCTAAGGCAAAGAAAAGGTTTTTTACAGTAAGAACAATAAGGATATGGAATTCTCTGCCTGAAGAGGTGGTTTTACATACAGATGTTTAAACTGAAATTGGATAAATACTTACAAAAACATAACATACAGGGATATAATTTCTAATTAGTGGGGTAATAGCTGATTGATCCAAGGAGACATCTGACTGCTATTTTGGGGTCAAGAAGGAATTTTTTCCTAGTTTGTGGCAAAATTGGAAGTGCCTCAGACCAGGTTTTTTGCCTTCTTTTGGATCAACAGCAACAACATTTCTGAGGAAGGCTGAACTTGATGGACGCAAGTCTCTTTTCAGCTATGTAACTATGTAACTATGTAACCAGCGCGGAATTCAGACTGAAGGTCAAGCAGAGAGTTGATTTTGAGAATGTCAGTCTGGTGTACACAACTCTCTCAAGGATCTTGGAGGCAAATGGCAGTAGCGACATAGGGCGGTAGGTGGATGGGGAGTTGGGGTCAAGGCTGGGCCTTTTCATAATTGGGGTTACAATTGCATGTTTGAAGGGTGAGGGAAATGTGCCAGAGGAAAGGGAGAGAGAGAAAATTTTAGTGAGGGGAAGAGCATGAGAGGGAGACCTAGTGCTGATGAGATATGAAGGAATAGGATCGAGGGAACAGGTGATGGAGCGGGAGAACCGGAGCAGAGCAGAAACCTCTTGTGCTGTAGCAGGTGCAAATGAGCTTAGGATGGCAGAAGGAGTGGGGTTGGGTGATGTATTGATACTGGTTGGAGAAAGATTAGAGATCTCTTTCCTGATTGTAGAGATCTTCTCAGTGAAATGAGATGCAAAGTTTGTGGCGGACAAGGTGGTGGAAGGAGGGGGAGTCACAGGGCAAAGAAGTGCATCAAAAGTGTGAAACAGGTGTTTGGGTTGGTGGGACAGTGTGCTTATGAGGGTGTTGAAGTAGCTTACTTTTGCAGAGGAAAGAGCCATGCTGTAAGAGCGCAGCATAAATTTATAGTGGACAAAGTCAGATGCAAAGTGAGACTTTCTCCAGCAGCGTTCAGCAGTTCTGGAACATTTTTGGAGGTAACAGGTCAGCTTGGTGTGCCAGGATTGTAGTTGGGGGCGCTTGCTGCATTTAACTGTAGGAGGTGCCATGATGTCAAGTTGAGAGGAGAGAGTGGAGTTGTAGAGTGAGGTTGCAGAGTTAGGGCAGTTATGATTTGAGATGGGTAAAAGGAGTGTTTGGAGTTTGGTGGAGAAGTGCTGGAGATCGAGGGAGTTGAGGTTTCTGCGAGGTTGGAGAGGTGGTACAGAGATTGGTGAAGATGAGGTCAAGAGTGTTTCCTGCAGTGTGAGTTGCTGAGGAAGAAATCTGTGTGAGTCCAAAGGAGGAGGTTACAGAGAGCAGACGAGAGGCATCAGGGCAGTTGACCTTGTTGATAGGGATATTGAAGTCCCCAAGTATGAGAGAGGGAATGCTAGAGGAAAGAAAGTGGGGTAACCAGGAGGAAAAGTGTTCAATGAATAGTTTAGGGTGACTGGGGGGGGCGCTGCTATAACACTTTCTGTTCCTGTACATCCAGTTGTCTGGTTACAATTACATTTATGTTAGTCCACCCACTGTACAGCACTACAGAATTTGATGGAGCTATATAAATAATAAAATAAAATAATAATATTGTGAAAAGGTGCAATATTCTAGGCTCACCGTGTCCCACTCTAATCAGCTAAGTAAGCCACAACACCTGCAAAGGGTTTCTGAGCCTTTAAATGGTCTCTTAGTCTGATTCAGTAGGAATCCCAATCATGGGGAAGACTGATTACCTGACAGTTGTGCAGAAAACCATCATTGACACCCTCATAAGGAGGGAAAGCCTCAAAATGTAATTGCGAAGGAAGTTGGATGTTCCCAAAGTGCTGTATCAAAGCACATTAATATAAAGTTATGTGGAAGAGAAAAGTGTGGAAGAAAAAAGTGCTCAAGCAGCAGGGATGACCGCAGCCTGGAGAGGATTGTCAGGAAAATGCCATTCAAAAGTGTTGGGGACTTTCACAAGGAGTGGACTGAGGCTGGAGTCAGTGCATCAAGAGCCACCACATACAGATGGATCCTGGACATGGACTTCAGATGTCATATTCCTCTTGTCAAGCCACTCCTGAACAACAAACATCATCAGAAGCGTCTTACCTGGGCTAAAGAAAAACAGACCTGGTCTGTTGCTCAGTGGTCCAAAGTCCTCTTTTCTGATGAGAGCAACTTTTGCATCTCATTTGGAAACCAAGGACCCAGAGTCTGGAGAGGCACACACTGCAAGATGCTTGAGGTCCAGTGTGAAGTTTCCACAGTCTGTGTTGATTTGGGGAGCCATGTCATCTGCTGGTGTTGGTCCACTGTGCTTCATTAAGTCCAGGGTCAAAGGAGCAGTCTACCAGGAGATTTTGGAGCACTTACTGCTTTATTCCGCAGACGAGCTTTATGGAGATGCTGACTTCATTTTCCAGCAGGACTTGGCACCTGCCCACATTGCCAAAAGCACCAAAGCCTGGTTCAATGACTGTGGGATTACTGCACTTGATTGGCCAGCAAACTCTATGGGGCATTACCAAGAGAAAGATGAGCGACATGAGACTGAGCCATGCAGAAGAGCTGCTATTGAAGCATCTTGGTCTTCCATAAAACCTCAGCAGTGCCACAGGCTGATAGCTTCCATGCCATGCCGCATTGAGGCAGTAATTGCTGCAAAAGGGGCCAAAATAAAAGTACTGAGTCCATACGCATGCTTATACTTTTCAGAGGTTCGATTTTGTTCTATGTACACTCCTTGTTTTATTGATTGCATGTAATATTCTAATTTACAGAGATTGTGGATTTGGGGTTTTCATGAGCTGTAAGCCAAAATCATCGCATGTATGACAAATCACGGCTTGAACTATCTTGCTTTGCATGTAATGCGTCTCTCATATGTTAGTTTCCCCTTTTACATTGCATTACTGAAATAAATGAACTTTTGGAAGATATTCTAATTTTTCGAGTATCACCTGTATAAACTTTGGAACATCTCACAGGCAAGGACATATGATTTGCAGTTATATACGATACCCTACAGGCTTTCTGCCCTTGGGCGGGTGTCCATTCCGGCGTCCGTCTGGTGACTTTAGCCAGCAAGGATGCCAGGGGTCTTGGTACTGGTATACCCCAGTCCTGTAACTTGTGCAGGCCTTCAGTTTCTGTCGCCACGGCATCGACCACTTCTTGTTTCTGTTTTGTTGAGAGTGGTTGTGACCAGGGACATCGATTTCCTAAACTGCAGCGTGGTGGCCGATAGGTCTGCAAAGACTTTGATGTTGGAGTATGGCTAGGGAAGGGTTGCGTTCCTACAGGCCTTCGTGATGCGCTCTTTCACGTGGTAGAAATGAACGCGTGCGATAACATACATCGTGGTCGTAGTAGGTAGGTGGGTGGGTGGGTTTGCACAGGCGGTGAGTTCTGTCAATTACTAGGAAGTCAGGATGGGTAGCTTGGAATTCCTGAAACAAGTCGGTCAGGTATTTATTCAGTTCTGTGTTCTGAACTTATTCAGGTACTCCCCTGAAACAGAGGTTGTTCCTTTTGGATCTATCTTCCAGGTCTGCTACTTTACGTTTTTGGGTTTCTAATGAGGTCTCCAGCCCTTGTGAGCGCAAGGCTATTATGAGCCACCGCGAAGTCGTCCATTGATTTCTCCACGTGGGCAGTCATGCTCCCTATCTCTAGGAGCTCCTTTCGGAGGTCCGTGGTAAGCGTGTGGATCTGTACCTTTATGCTTGCCTGTAGTTTGTCAGACAGCTCTGCCATCAGGTTTCTCATCCCTGTAACTGTGAGGGGTTCCTCCTCTGAGGCCGAACTCTGTGAAGGCAGAGGGGAGGGTGAGACTGCGCCTGAGCAGTGTTCGCCGCCATCTTGGATCGGGCCTTCCCTGCCTTTCCCTGCCGAAGCTCTTGCAAGGAAGGAGGCCTTTTACGTTCTGGGGGTCTTGCCTTTGCTTCTTTGCGACATGGTGGAGATAAATGCCCAGTTTGTTGTCAGCAAGTTGCTCGTAATGCAGTTTATTTTAGCCCCTTTAGACCTGAGCTGCGGGAACTTCACATTCGTGCGGCCGGTCCCGTCGAGCTCCAAGCTACGCCCCCAGAGGAATTTTTTTTTTTTTAAAGGGACCCTGTAGTCCCCAAAACAACTTTAGCTTAATGAAGCAGTTTTAGTGTATAGCTCGTGCCTCTGAAGTGTCACTGCTCAATTATATGCCATTTAGAATTTAAAACATTTTTGTTTGTTTATGCAGCCCTAGCCACAACTTGTTTGTGACTGACAGCCTGCATTAAAACAAAATGGCTTTATTTTAAATGAGATGTGACCTGGTGTAAAAGTGTTTCTCCTGCTCTGTAAATTTTACTTTAATCACATACAGGAGGCTCCTGCTGGGTCTAGCAAGCTATTAGCAGAGTAGGAGATAAAATATAAATAAAACTGAATTTGCAATAAAGGAAGTGTAAACATCAGATGACTGTTTACAGGAAGTGTTTAGGAAGGCTGTGAAAGTCACATGCAAGGTGGTGTGCCTAGGGCTGTATAAACAAAATGATTTAACTCCTAAATGGCAGAGAAATGAGCAGTGAGACAGCAGAAATACATACACATACACACAATTTTATCCCCCCTCCCTGCCTTTATCTGTGGCCAGGGAGTGGAGCATTACACTCCCTGTTGGTCCAGTGTGTACGCAGCCAGGGTGTTTCTGTCAGGATTATTGATTGATTCAGCACCTAGAATTGTATCACACATAGGACTACTGGTTCTTAGAATGGCTGGATTTAACATACCAAAGAATAGTCAGGATACTTGCCGAGGTCAGGGACACAGAATGGGATGCAACGATAAGGGAAAGCCAAAATAGTCAGAGATACCAGAATACAGGGAAGTCAAACAAAGACAAAATAATAACCAGAATAAAACGCTCAGGAACACACTCTTAGACAACCACTAAGGAAAACCACGACAGGGCAATGAGGAAAAGTAAAACCGAGTTTAAATAAGCCCTTTACAAATTTGATTGGCCGAAATCAGCATTACACCCCAGAACTTGCGTGCGCATCTCCCGCGTGACGTCATACGCACACCGACGTCATCAACGTGGGCGGACGTTGGGCCATAATAAGGCGTGGATCCGCAGCAGCCGGCATCCATTAACATGTTGCAGGAGTCTGTAATACAGACGCTCGGCAACTGAGCGCAAATACCGCAAGGTAAGGAGGAATATGTTACAGTTTCATATTATATCAACGACGTCCTAGACCCAGCACACGCTATCTTCTGTCTTCTCTCTAACTTTCATGAGCCTCGTTTGCCACACTGAGCATTGCTGTGGTAACCCGTTGCAACACTGATGGCCGAAGGCTTGCAAGAAATGCAGAGAGGCCCTGCAAATAGCGCGCACTGGTTCCAGGCCACTTTCTGCCTTATCTGCAATATTGGTATCGTTATAGGCAGATACCAATATTACTGAAAATACAGAGTATAAGCGAGACCGATAATCGATTGTTCTTTACTTCCGTGTATATTTATAAATACTTAAAAAAGTTATTACAAGCATTAAAACGACTAACCCACTGAATGTGATGTCAGGATATCCTCGCCTGGTTCCCCGGTAATGGGGCAAACCTTTTATCAACAGTTAGCCCCTTACCTGGGTCCATGCTAGAATCCAATGCTCCCGCTAATTCAGCGAGATGCTACCGACTTCTGCAGAATCTGCGGTGGTCGCCATTCATTGGCAGAGAGCATCAGCTCACGGCTTTCAGGTACTTACTAGCATTCTGTGCAACAAAAAGGTGGAGTTACCCCTTCAACAGCTAAGGAGTTAACCTCTGCATGTAAAGTGTTTCAAAGCAAAACATTGTTAATACAGGCACCACAACCAACTCAAATCAGTGAAGTGGTCATTGTGCTTAGAGCAGCGTTTCCCAATTGGTGTTCCGCGAGAACAAAACTGGGGTTCTGCTTCGATTTGCCCATTGGGTGGCCCTACCACTTAGCAGGGGACCGGTTAGGCGAGGCGGCTGTTTAAGATCGCGGCCGGGCTTGTGAAGTATGAGATGTTCCCAGACTTCAAGCACGCTGGCTGAAGGGAGAGAGCAGCTGCTGACCTGGCTCATTTGCCTCACCCAGCAGCACTAAAAGAAGCCACCCTCCTGCTGAAAGAAAAAAAAAAAAAAGAAATGAACAGGAGGGTAACTGCAAATATAAACATATGTGTGCGTTTATGTGCACATACATACATACATACATAAATATCTATATATATCTATATATATCTATATATATCTATATATATCTATATATATCTATATATATCTATATATATCTATATATATATATCTATATATATCTATATATATATATATATATATATATATATATATATATCTCTATCTCTGCCATTTGTGCATCTGTGTCAGTGTATGTATTTTTGTATGTGCCACCGTGTATCTTTGTGCCAGTGTTTATCTGTGTTTGTCAAGGTGTGTGTATCTATGCTTGTATGTGCCAGTGTGTGCCTCTATGTCAGTGTGTATACAACGGTGTATGTGTCAGTGTGTTTCTGTTTGGTAATGTGTATGTATATTTGTGTAAGTATGCGTGTGCAGACATCCCAGCAATCAGACACCAACTCTACACACACTCCTGCAAACACAAACATTACATACAAAAACATCCTTGAACTCTAAAATTATATACAAACACTTAAACACCAACTCTACACACAAAATGTTCATCCGCACTTAAATTCAAACACTACATGCAAACATTACAAACACATCCCTTTATGAAAATGCTAAAATTATTTACAAAACACCAACTCTACACACAGAAACACACCTGCTCCTAAGTACTACAATCTGTTTATTCCCCGTAGAACTTAGTGTGTATATAGCAAAAAAACCCACACCAAAATTTGCCAAAAAAGGAAAAGATTACGCTCTATTAATTGTAATGTTTATGCTATGGTGTTTTCACAAGGTTGATACACTGTAGGGATCGACTGATATTGATTTTTTTTTTTTTTTTTTTAAGAGCAGATACTGATAATCTGTTAACTTTCAGGCCGATAACGATATTCTGTACATTTACCATTTTGAAAAAAATAAACAATTTCTAAAAGTTAAATGCACAAAATATACATGTATTGGATGCAGTGTGTGTATGTATATAATGAATGCAGAGTGTGTATGTATATAATGAATGCAGAGTGTGTGTGTAGTGTGTATTTGATGAATGCAGTTTGTGTGTGTAGTGCGTATATAATGCAGTGTGTGTTTGTGTAGTGCATATATAATGCAGTGTGTGTGTGTTTCTGTAGGTATGCAATTTGTGTAAAATAGGGGGGCATTTTTTTTATTTTATTTTTTTTTTAAATGTAATTTTTAATTTATTTTTTTTTATGTAATTTTTTTATTTTTTTTCAGTCCCCCCTCCCTGCTTCTTACTTGGCCAGGGGATATGGCCTTCCCTGGTGGTCCGGTGGCATGGACTGTGCAGAGGGGGCCCGCAGCAAGCGCTTACTTACCTTCCCAGCAGCTCTCTTCAGCTCCCCTGTGAAGCTGAGATTTACACAGGGCCCCCCAGGACCGCAGGGCTTGTCATGGACCCGGCGGTCCTGGTATGTATTAACGGCAATATCGGTATCTTTATTGGCCGATACCGATATTGCCAAAAATACTGAATATCGGCCAATAATATCCCTAATACACTAGGTCAAATGGTTTCACTGGAAAAAATTATTGGAAACCCCTGGCTTAGAGTAACCCTTTAAAAATCTTAAAAACCAACCCATACAGACCAAAGATACAAACCACTGCCCCTTTCTCCTACAGACAAAAATAACGCTTTATAAGATTCCTTGCAGGGTATTAGTTTCAAATTTAGATGACAAAGTAATTATATATTCAGCACCTGCAGCATGGGTGTCACATATTGAGACTTTGCCAGTCACGTAATAAATCAGGTGAACTAGCACCTCTATTGTGAAAATTATCCTTCATTCTGCTTTGATCATTCTGATATTTAAAGTAGTTTTACGGGTTCCTAAATCCATTTTTATTATCAGTGGGTTTTATTCTAACAACTGGTCTCACACAATTATACTTCATTATAGACCTTGTTATAATAATTTATATGAATGGATTTCATAAAGCAACAGCAAAACCTTGAATTGGTTTGGATTGAAACACTGGATAAAAACTGAAATAGAGTCAAGTGGTTTTAACGATCTACTGAGATAAGAAGTAAACTCTCAAATACATTAAAGATGAGAAATGGGGGCTGGAGTAAAAAAAAAAAAGGGGGGGGGAACTAGAATCTGTACAAAAAAAAAAAAAAACTTACAACTTGAAGGTTTTCGGCACATTTACTTGATAAAAGATTCATTCAATCTATGCAGTTATTGCTGAAATTACTTTGCTATGTGTAGGAGTAAAATCCTTGTCCTAGTGCATTTTGGGGCAATAATTATTGTCTAATATGTACAGAATGTTAAAGGGACACTGTAGGCACCATAATCATTTCAACAGATTGACATGGTTGTGGTGTTTGGGATCTGTGGGTGCTGCAGCTAAACGGGTTACTCACAATTTAGTATAGATGCTCAGTCCCCAACAGTCTGCAGCCCACCCTCCAAGGTCGAAATGGCAGAGCTAAGCTCTGCTTCAAGTCATACCAATGGTAGCAGGCAGTGATAGCCTGGGAGCATCAGGTGAGAGCACTAAGCCAATCCCTGGTATTGGGCAAGGCAGAGACATAGCACAGCCTCTAGGATTTTTACATTGGAGGCCAGCAGGAATAACCACCTCTACTAGACCGTTTTGCAAAGCGCTTGTATTATAGCCAGAACAGTAACTACCGTAAAGGTCAGGTATATTAGGTAGATTTTTTTTTTTTTTTAAAGGGAGGGGTATAGGGTGGTTTTTGGCCAGATTTTCCTAGCAAAAATGGTGTAAAAAAGCAATAATGTGATTGGCTGGTGTTTTTCAAGTGCGTGCAGTACTCTAGTGATATATAAAGTCAGCATTTTTGGCAGGCTTAACCTCTTCCCTCAACTTTCCAGGACAAGCATCCCACCCACTCTCTCAATTGTCTGTTGTAGTTTTTAAATGATCACTATAGGCAACCAGACCACTTTAGCTCACTGAAGCGTTCTGAGTACAGAGTCTCTATTGCCCTTAGTGCTGCAATGTTAAACATTGCAGTTTTAGAGTAACTGCAATGTTTACATTGCAGCACTAGGACAGTGCCTCTAGTGTCTGTCAACTAGCCAGCCACTAGAGGCACTTCCTGCTTGCTAGGTGACTTGACGTTCTGCATGAGGACATTCAGCTTCAGAGAAAAACCCCATAGGAAAGCATTGATTCAATGCTTTCCTCTGGGGAGGGCCCAGCGCTGGGATTGGGTTAGTATTTAATGGGTTTTTAACGCTATATTGGCTGTGGGGGAGCTATAGTGCACAGGTTTGCATTCATAACACTACAGTATACCTTTAAGTCAATGGATAAGGTTGCTGACAATTTTGGCAGTGGACGGTGGCATGATAATCTGGAGGATTGTATTATTTTAAGCTTGTTTTTAAAATTATTTTAAAGGTTTACAATTTTGGTTATGGTTTTATTGCAAAAGCTATGGACATCATATCCATTGAAAGCCATGTATCAGTGTTTGCAGATGACACAAAACTTTGTAAAGTAATAAAATGTGAGCAGGATATTGCTTTACTGCAGAGATATTCGGATAGATTGGGGGACTGGGCACTAAAATGGCAGATGAAATTTAACATAGAGAAATGCAAAGTTATGCACAAGCAACTTACACACTAAATGGTAGTGAATTAGGGATAACCACACACGAGAAGGATTTGGGAATTGTTATAGACAACAAATTAAGCAGCAATATGCAATGTCAATCTGCAGTTGCTAAGGCCAGTAAGATTTTATCATGTATAAATTGGGGCATAAATTCTCGGGATGAAAATATAATTTTGCCTCTTTATAAATCACTGGTAAGACCACACCTTGAATATGCTGTGCAATTTTGGGCGCCTGTTCTAAAGAAGGATATCATGGCACTGGAGAGGGTCCAGAGACGAGCTACAAAATTGATAAAAGGAATGGAGCATTTTAGTTATGAAGAAAGGTTAAAAAAAATTAAATCTGTTTAGTTTGGAAAAAACGGCGCCTGAGAGGGGATATGATAACTTTATACATATATATTCGGGGCCAGTACAAATCTTTATCTGGAAATCTATTCATAAACAGGGCTATACATAGGACACGAGGTCACACATTTAGGCTGGAAGAAAGGAGATTTCATCTAAGGCAAAGAAAAGGGTTTTTTTACAGTAAGAACAATAATGATATGGAATTCTCTGCCTGAAGAAGTGGTTTTGTCAGAGTCCATACAGATGTTTAAACTGCAATTGGATAAATACTTACAAAAACATAAAATACAGGGATATAATTTCTAATTAGTGGGGTAATAGCTGCTTGATCCAAGGAGACATCTGACTGCTATTTTGGGGTCAAGAAGGAATTTTTTCCTAGTTTGTGGCAAAATTGAAAGCGCTTCAGACCAGGTTTTTAACTATGTAACATTATTGTTATTGCTCTAATAAGTTATGTATTGTCAATGCAATGGACATCACGACAGACACATTGTCAAAAGTTCTTACAATGCCAATAGATTATTATTTTTTGCAACAATAACTGGTGGAAGCCCTTTTCTGCCCCTATGGACTAGCCTCCAAAGGGACAGAGTTACTGTAAATAAAGCATTTTGACGATAAATAAGTAATTATTCGAAAAGCATACTCTTGCAATACCATTTTACAATGGTCTACAGAAACATTATTGCAAAATATCCTTTTACAGCCTACGTTGATGCACAAGCAGCATAAAGTTAATCCAATTGAAACCTTAAAGATGAGGGTTTGATAGTTTTAATTTAGAAGAATTTTGGGGGGTTATAACTAGCGTGGCCCATCAATACAGATCTCAATGAGTCATAGAACTACAGCTTTTGTGTAAACAGGAAAGTTTCAACAAGATTTCCTGTTACTACTAAAAGGACATGAAAACAGATGTCAAGCAAGATGTTTTTGAATGAACTAAGAAAGATGCTTGTGATGAATGACTCAGAAAACAACACACACAGGACTGAAATGACCATGATGTTTTAAACTAAACTGTTTTATGATCTGTCTCCTATTCTGTTTATTGTGCATCATCACGATGCATGTGCCCATTTAAAGTTGTTGCAAGACTCTGTATAGCCAAGTTAAGGATTAGTTCCAATTTTAGAACTGTAAACAAATACGATTCTAGTTTAAAACTAGGTCATATTGAAAATGTGTAAAATGGAGGGAAAGATAAACACTTACCTACAGGGCTACTGCACAAGGTCCTGGGCTACTGCATTTGTGCTGCCAGGCAACCAAGGTTGCAGACCTGGCTTCAAAGGTGCAGCAATTCTTGCAGCGCTGCAAATTGCTGTAAAAATAAGTTGCAGATCCTGCAGAACTGTGTGTATTCCTGTTTATATATGTATATATCGCAGCTCCTGCAGAGCTCTGTGTATTTCTGTTTATGTTTAGCAGGTCATGCAGAGCTCTGTGTATTTCTGTTTATGTTTAGCAGGTCATGCAGAGCTCTGTGTGTTTATGTTTAGCAGGTCATGCATGCAGAGCTCTGTGTAGTCGTGTGTTTATGTTGCAGCTCCTGCAGAGCGGTGTATTGCAGTTTATGTTTTGCAGATCCTGCAGAGCTCGGTGTATAACTGTTTGGTGCTGCAGGCCCAGCAGAGCTCTTTGTATATCTGTGCTTATATTGCAGAGTATTCTCTGGTGTTGTGGAATTGCTTGTACGGTGTTTGTAGTCAGTATGCTGTCCAGCGCTCTGTATGTGTGTGTATGGCTGTCAGTCTGCTCCCAGCTCTCTATGTTTTGCAGGGAGTAAGCTACCGCTCTGGATTCCCTCCCTCTGGGTTGGGATGCAGCAGGCTGCTTGATTTCTTTGATCCCGCCCAAATGTAAGCTTTGATTGGCAGCGGTTACAGCCAATTGTGAGCAGTGATATGGCTGGACCAATCCGTGGACCAATCCGGAGGAAGCAGCGCTGCTATTCTGCCATTAGTTGCTGTTTACTGTGCCCCAGAATTTCTGCTTTGAAAGTCAATGCGGGCGGTGTGTGGGGGAGTGTGCAGTGCCTGCAGCGCATGGAGAGTGTATAGGGTTCACATAGAGCACAGACCTTATACAGACACTAGAGTAGATGTATAGCTTGGGTCATAGCTATATATAAAAACTAGGTGTTCTGTACTTGAGGTCTATATATGTCCATATATTCCAGGTCCTGTCCCTGGTCCGCTGGAAGCGGGCAGCACTCCACAGTCTTTTTCATCAATTAAAGGGACACTATAGGCACCAGAACAACTACAGCTTAATTTAGAGGTTCTAGTGGCTATAGCATGTTCTACAGGCTTTTTAACCCCTTAAGGACACAGCTTCAGAAGCTTGTCTTACGCTTACTGACACAACCAATTTTTGCATTTTCTTGCTGTATGTGTTCAACTGCAATTTGCATCTCTCTCGTTTATTGCACCGACACATACTATATACTGTTTTTTAAAGAACAGAAAGGGCTTTAATTTGATGTAACATATAACAGAAAATATATGCCATACTTACCGATATTTTCTTTTCCCGGATATATGCCATGGCAGCACTACGTATGGGTATAGCTCCTCCCCTTCTCAATTGGACAGGAACACCTCCTAAAATAAAAGAGACCACCACCCCCCCCCCCATACCCCCTCAGTCTTAGTTTAAAGCCACGGAACAACACATGATTTCAGAAGAGGGTGGGATCGCAGTGCTGCCATGGCATATATCCGGGAAAAGAAAATATCGGTAAGTATGGCATAAATTTTCTGTTTTCCCCGGATATATACATGGCAGCACTACGTATGGGTTATACCCAAGCTGAAAGGAGTAAGGGAGGGAGAATAATAACCACAACGCATAAATCCATGCAAATACGGTTTATTGATCCACAAACTATAAGGCAGCAGAGAGGACACTTCTACCAAATTCTGTGGTAGATGAACGCACTACATCCAACTGATAGTGATTGATAAACGTGTTGAAGGAGGACCATGTTGCTGCCGAACAAATGCGATCTGCAGAAATGTTGGCTGCAGCTGCCCAAGAAGCGGCCAAGGATCTGGTAGAATGAGCTCTAAGGCCTTGAGGGACAGGGACTCCGGAGGATGAGTAGGCCTGACTAATGGCTGAGATGATCCATCGGCCAATAAGAGACGAAGAAGCGGCTTGACCCTTCTTGTAACCTGAAGGAATAATGAACAGTCTAGATGTCTTCCTTATGACTGAAGTCTGGTTCAGGTATGTAGATAAACAGCGCACCAGATCCAAACGATGCCATTTCTCTTCTTCTTCCGATGCGGGATGAGGGAAAAAGGCTGGCAAAATGATGTCCTGATTCATATGGAAAGCAGAAACCACCTTGTGTCTGAAGGCTGGAATCGTACGAAGAATCACTCTGTCTTCCTGAAGAATCAAAAAGGGACACTCACAGGAGAGAGCGCTTAGCTCGGAGATTCTTCTGCCTGAGGTCAAGGCAACCAACAGAACAGTTTTCAACGTAAGAGTAAGTATAGAAACACTCTCCAAGGGCTCAAATGGAGAATCAGACAAGGCCTGTAAAACCAGAGGTAAATCCCAAGGAGGGGAGCAAGACCGTACTGGAGGGCAAAGCTTGAGAATCGCTTGAAAAAATCTAGCAATATCTGGATCAAATGCCAATTTCCGATCTAACAGAGCTGAAGTATGCACTTTTAGGGAGCTGCGACTCAAACCCTTGTCAAACCCGTCCTGTAAAAATTGAAGGATGTCACAGATACTGGGAGACAAAGGAGAAATATTATGTGCCAAACACCAGCTACAGAAGATGTCCCAAATACGATAGTAAGCTGAAGAAGTGGATTTCTTCCTGGCATTCAGAAGAGTAGAAATTACTGAAGAAGAGAAGCCTTTGCTGGAGAGACGTTGCTTCTCAATTTCCAAGCCCTTAAATTGAGAGACTGAAGAGATGGGTGAGAGATAGGACCTTGTTGTAGGAGACTGAGTTGATCTGGGAATTTCAGTGGCATGTCATGAGAGAGTTTCTGCAGCAGGGGAAAACAAGGCCGTCTGGGCCAGAAGGGAATCACTGCGAGAATCGTCGCTTGCTCCTGCAGGATCCTTCTCAGCAGGGGGAAAATCAGAGGAGTTGGGGGAAAAACATACCCCAGATGGAACTTCCACTCACAACAGAGAGCATCCTGGTCTTCCGCCAAAGGGTCGAAGTAACGCGAGAAGAACCTTCCCACTTTGCGATTCTTCGCTGTGGCCATCAGATCTACCTGAGGAAGTGTCACGTATTCATCCGCTTATAGAAATGTGGTTAATGACATTTACTGTCCACACAGGAAAAGTTGTGCCGAGCAGCAACCTAATCCACAGAAGGGTTAATGCTGAGCAGCAATTATGCAAATGAAACCTGGTAACTGACTTTGGGGTCAAAGGCCGGTTACAGCCTATCAGAAAGAAAGGAGGGGTATTTAGGCCCAGTTCTCAGCCTGCTCAGTGCCCTGTCGTGGTTTCCCTTGTGGTTGTCCGAGAGCGCGTTCCTGTTTATAGTTTTCTACCTGGTTTTTGACTTTGGCTTTGTTTATTGACTTCTCTATATTCTGGTATCCTGACTCCTGGCTTTCCTCATCGCTGTGTCCCTTTCTGTGTTCCCTGACCTCGGCTAGTATTTTTGACTATTCTTTGTAAGTTAAATCCGGCCATTCTAAGGACCGGTAATACGTTACTTATTTGTCATCCGTGCTGTACAGTTCTACGTGCTGGATCAAACAGTAATCCTGACATTACGACAGGGCCATAGATCCTGTAGAACTGTGTCAGCACATAGCTGCTTGCGAGAGGAAATTAGAGGAGAATGATCACCGCATGGATCAATTCACTCAGGCTTTAAGTACGCTTCTCGCTAGAACGGAGCATCTGCAGCCTGCAGCGTCTCCTCCTATAGCACCTCTACCCTGTGTACCTCCACCCACTGTTAATAGGACTCCTAGCATCTCCTTATCACCATCCCTACAGTTTGATGGCAATATCCAGGAATGCAGGGGTTTTCTTAATCAGGTGGAGTACCATTTTGAGGCCTCACCAGGGTCATTCCCCACGGACAGAGCAAGAATTGGTTATCTAATGAATCAATTAAAGGGCAAGGCCCTTGCCTGGGCTAATCCGTTGTGGGAGAGTAATCGGAGCATAGCTCATAATTACCAGGAATTCCTTGCTGAATTCAAGCTCACGTTTGAGCCATTGGGTAGAGAGGATGACGCCTCCACTGCCCTAATGCACATCAGACAAGGTAACCGGTCTATCTGGGATTATGCTATTGAGGTAGACTGGACTAACAATGGGTTAATCTCAGCATTCAAAAAGGGTCTCTCAGAGACTATACTAGATGAGATAGCCGCTAAAGAATTACCTAAGAGTCTTAACGAATTTATTACGTTTGTCATGCATATTGATAATAGGTTAAGACTCAGAGAAGTCACCAGAAGCAAGACCAGACGTACGGCTATGTCCCTAGCACCTCAATTCTCTAAACCTGTTTTGTCTAACCTCCCTGTACAGTCCGAACCCGAACCTATGCAGTTGGGGGTCACTAGACTGTCAGAGGCCGAAAAACAGTATAGGAGAAGGGAGGGGTTATGCCTATATTGCGGTAGAAAGGGACATATGATAACTAATTGTCCAGTGCGTCCGGAAAACTTCCGCACCTAAGAACCTTAAGGGGACAGATCTTAGGTGTGATGGAGTTGTCCTCTAACAAAAACAAAAGTAGATTCCTCCTTGAGGTATCTATTTCCCTTGATAACAAGAAGTTTTCTTGCAGTGCCCTAATGGACTCAGGTGCTGCTGGAAATTTTATTGATGTCCAGTTTATTAGGGGTAATGAGATACCGGTCAGGGAGAGACCTACGCCGCTAGCTGTAGAGGCTATTGATGGTAGACCACTCACACAACCGCTTATAACCCACGAAACTGTCCCTATTACGATCTCCATTGGGGCCTCCCATAGGGAGGAGATGACGTTTCAGGTTATTACTTCTCCATCATGTCCTATCATATTAGGGTTTCCGTGGCTGAGTAAGCACAATCCCTATATTGACTGGGCTAATGGGGAGATATTAGAATGGGGTAAAGAGTGTATGGGGAGATGTATAAAACCAGTACTAAAGAGATTGGATACTATTGACCTTCCCACTACCACTCCCCAAACTCCTGGAGTTCCCATACAATACCGAGAACTTCAGGAGGTGTTTAACAAGGCTCAATCGATGTATTGCCTCCCCACAGAGCATATGACTGTGCCATTAACCTGTTTCCAGGCGCTATGCCACCTAAGGGGGCAGTTTATGCCTTATCTCCCCAGGAGAGTAAAATAATGGAGGAATACATCAAAGAATCCTTGAGCAAAGGGCACATAAGAAAGTCATCCTCACCAGCTGGTGCAGGATTCTTTTTTGTTGAGAAAAAGGGTGGTGAGTTACGCCCTTGCATAGACTACAGGGCACTTAATAAAATCACTGTAAAAAATGCATACCCTATCCCACTCATTTCCGAATTGTTCGATAGACTTCAGGGAGCTAAAGTATTTACTAAGCTTGACCTTAGGAGCGCTTACAATTTGGTTAGAATTAAAGAGAATCATGAGTGGAAGGCGGCATTTAATACCCGTAGTGGACACTATGAATATCTGGTAATGCCATTTGGGTTATGCAACGCCCCGGCCGTATTCCAAGACTTTATAAATGATGTACTCAGGGAATTCATTTACTCATTTGTCTTGGTTTATTTGGACGATATTTTGGTGTATTCCCCTGATCTTCAAACTCACCACTCCCATGTGAAACAGGTTCTGCAGACGTTGTTGAAAAATAAACTTTATTGTAAATTAGAAAAGTGCATATTTGACCAGCCTGAAGTCCACTTTTTGGGTTACAACATCTCTGCATCGGGATTTCAAATGGATCCTAAAAAACTAGAGGCTGTACTACACTGGCCATTACCCTCTGGTTTAAAAGCCATTCAAAGGTTTATTGGTTTTGCCAACTATTACAGAAGATTCATCAAGGGATTTTCTTCTGTAATAGCCCCAATCACAAATATGACTCGCAAAGGGGTTAGTAGCACGGTATGGTCCAAAGAGGCTGTGAATGCTTTTGAGACTCTTAAACAAAGATTTGCCTCCTCGGACATACTAAAACATCCCGACACTAGTAAACCTTTTATATTGGAGGTTGATGCATCCAAGACAGGGGTAGGGGCTGTTCTCTCTCAGAGAGAAAGCCAGGGAACACCATTGCATCCTTGTGGCTACTTCTCCAGAAAGATGTCTCCTGCTGAGCGCAACTACGATATTGGTAATAGAGAACTGTTGGCCATTATTCTTGCCCTCAAGGAGTGGCGACATCTTTTGGAGGGTTCCAAGGACCCCCTGTTGATCATAACCGACCACAAAAATCTGGCATATATAGGGGATGCCAAACGTTTGTCTTCCAGACAAGCTAGATGGTCACTGTTCCTTTCACGTTTTAACTTTCTCATTACTTATAGACCTGGTTCTAAAGAGATGGGTGAGAGGAATGGGACCTTGAGAGACTGAGTTGATCTGGGAATTTCAGTGGCATGTCATAGAGAGAGTTTTCTGCAGCGAGGGAAAACAAGGCCGTCTGGGCCCAGAGGGAATCACTAGAAGAATGGTAAGCTTGCTCCTGCAGGATCCCTTCTCAGCAGGGGAAAATCAGAGAGTTGGGAAAAAACATACCCCCAGATGAACTTCCACTCACAACAGAGAACATCCTGGTCTTCAAGAAATTGAGAAGTAGCGAGAAGAACCTTCCCACTGCGATTCTTAGCTGTATTATCAGATCTACCTGAGGAAGTGTCGCGTATTCATCCGGCTTATAGAAGTTAATGACATTTACTGTCCACACAGGAAAAAGTTGTGCTGACAGCAACCTAATCCTGAAGGGTTAATGCTGAGCGAAAAATTATGCAAATGAAACCTGGTAACTGACTTTGGGGTCAAAGGCGGTTACAGCCTATCAGAAAAGAAAGGAGAATTATTTAGGCCCAGTTCTCAGCCTGCTCAGTGCCCTGTCGTGGTTTCCCTTGTGGTTGTCTGAGAGCGCGTTCCTGTTTATAGTTTTCTACCTGGTTTTGACTTTGGCTTTGTTTATTGACTTCTCTATATTCTGGTATCCTGACTCCTGGCTTTCCTCATCGCTGTGTCCCTTTCTGTGTTCCCTGACCTCGGCTAGTATTTTTGACTATTCTTTGTAAGTTAAATCCGGCCATTCTAAGGACCGGTAATATGTTACTTATTTGTCATCCGTGCTGTACAGTTCTACGTGCTGGATCAAACAGTAATTCTGACATTACGACAGGGCCATAGATCCTGTAGAACTGTCAGCACATAGCTGCTTGCGAGAGGAAATTAGAGGAGAATGATCACCGCATGGATCAGTTCACTCAGGCTTTAAGTACGCTTCGCGCTAGAACGGAGCATCTGCAGCCTGCAGCGTCTCCTCCTATAGCACCTCTACCCTGTGTACATCCACCCACTGTTAATAGGACTCCTAGCATCTCCTTATCACCATCCCTACAGTTTGATGGCAATATCCAGGAATGCAGGGGTTTTCTTAATCAGGTGGGGTACCATTTTGAGGCCTCACCAGGGTCATTCCCCATGGACAGAGCAAGAATTGGTTATCTAATGAATCAATTAAAGGGCAAGGCCCTTGCCTGGGCTAATTCGTTGTGGGAGAGTAATCGGAGCATAGCTCATAATTACCAGGAATTCCTTGCTGAATTCAAGCTCACGTTTGAGCCATTGGGTAGAGAGGATGACGCCTCCACTTCCCTAATGCACATCAGACAAGGTAACCGGTCTATCTCGGATTATGCTATTGAATTCCGTACCTTAGCTTCCGAGGTAGACTGGACTAACAATGGGTTAATCTCAGCATTCAAAAAGGGTCTCTCAGAGACTATACTAGATGAGATAGCCGCTAAAGAATTACCTAAGAGTCTTAACGAATTTATTAAATTTGTCATGTATATTGATAATAGGTTAAGACTCAGAGAAGTCACCAGAAGCAAGACCAGACGTACGGCTATGTCCCTAGCACCTCAATTCTCTAAACCTGTTTTGTCTAACCTCCCTGTACAGTCTGAACCCGAACCTATGCAGTTGGGGGTCACTAGACTGTCAGAGGCCGAAAAACAGTATAGGAGAAGGGAGGGGTTATGCCAATATTGCGGTAGAAAGGGACATATGATAACTAATTGTCCAGTGCGTCCGGAAAACGTCCGCACCTAAGAACCTTAAGGGGACAGATCTTAGGTGTGATGGAGTTGTCCTCTAACAAAAACAAAAGTAGATTCCTCCTTGAGGTATCTGTTTCCCTTGATAACAAGAAGTTTTCTTGCAGTGCCCTAATGGACTCAGGTGCTGCTGGAAATTTTATTGATGTCCAGTTTATTAGGGGTAATGAGATACTGGTCAGGGAGAGACCTACGCCGCTAGCTGTAGAGGCTATTGATGGTAGACCACTCACACAACCGCTTATAACCCATGAAACTGTCCCTATTACGATCTCCATTGGGGCCTCCCACAGGGAGGAGATGACGTTTCAGGTTATTACTTCTCCATCATGTCCTATCATATTAGGGTTTCCGTGGCTGAGTAAGCACAATCCTATATTGACTGGGCTAATGGGGAGATATTAGAATGGGGTAAAGAGTGTATGGGGAGATGTATAAAACCAGTACTAAAGAGATTGGATACTATTGACCTTCCCACTACCACTCCCCAAACTCCTGGAGTTCCCATACAATACCGAGAACTTCAGGAGGTGTTTAACAAGGCTCAATCCGATGTATTGCCTCCCCATAGAGCATATGACTGTGCCATTAACCTGTTTCCAGGCGCTATGCCACCTAAGGGGGCAGTTTATGCCTTATCTCCCCAGGAGAGTAAAATAATGGAGGAATACATCAAGGAATCCTTGAGCAAAGGGCACATAAGAAAGTCATCCTCACCAGCTGGTGCAGGATTCTTTTTTGTTGAGAAAAAGGGTGGTGAGTTACGCCCTTGCATAGACTACAGGGCACTTAATAAAATCACTGTAAAAAATGCATACCCTATCCCACTAATTTCCGAATTGTTCGATAGACTTCAGGGAGCTAAAGTATTTACTAAGCTTGACCTTAGGAGCGCTTACAATTTGGTTAGAATTAAAGAGAATCATGAGTGGAAGGCGGCATTTAATACCCGTAGTGGACACTATGAATATCTGGTAATGCCATTTGGGTTATGCAACGCCCCGGCCGTATTCCAAGACTTTATAAATGATGTACTCAGGGAATTCATTTACTCATTTGTCTTGGTTTATTTGGACGATATTTTAGTGTATTCCCCTGATCTTCAAACTCACCACTCCCATGTGAAACAGGTTCTGCAGACGTTGTTGAAAAATAAACTTTATTGTAAATTAGAAAAGTGCATATTTGACCAGCCTGAAGTCCACTTTTTGGGTTACAACATCTCTGCATCGGGGTTTCAAATGGATCCTAAAAAACTAGAGGCTGTACTACACTGGCCATTACCCTCTGGTTTAAAAGCCATTCAAAGGTTTATTGGTTTTGCCAACTATTACAGAAGATTCATCAAGGGTTTTTCTTCTGTAATAGCCCCAATCACAAATATGACTCGCAAAGGGGTTAGTAGCACGGTATGGTCCAAAGAGGCTGTGAATGCTTTTGAGACTCTTAAACAAAGATTTGCCTCCTCGGACATACTAAAACATCCCGACACTAGTAAACCTTTTATATTGGAGGTTGATGCATCCGAGACAGGGGTAGGGGCTGTTCTCTCTCAGAGAGAAAGCCAGGGAACACCATTGCATCCTTGTGGATACTTCTCCAGAAAGATGTCTCCTGCTGAGCGCAACTACGATATTGGCAATAGAGAACTGTTGGCCATTATTCTTGCCCTCAAGGAGTGGCGACATCTTTTGGAGGGTTCCAAGGACCCCCCGTTGATCATAACCGACCACAAAAATCTGGCATATATAGGGGATGCCAAACGTTTGTCTTCCAGACAGGCTAGATGGTCACTATTCCTTTCACGTTTTAACTTTCTCATTACTTATAGACCTGGTTCTAAAAATACCAAGGCTGATGCCTTGTCCATGCAATTTGATAATGAGTCAGCTCCGGAACAGGTGACATCTCCTATTATTCCACCAGAGTGTATTATTGCTACTACTGTCCTCTCACTGTCTTCTCCACTGCTTGGCACCATACTGGAGGCCCAGCCTCAGGCGCCCAGTGGTAAACCGTGTGATAAACTGTTCGTTCCCCTATGTGAAAGGGTTAATATCATGAAAGTGTTCCATGACAATATAACTGCTGGACACCTCGGGCATCAATAAGTCCACTGCCGCGATCACTAGATCATTTTGGTGGGATTCACTCAGGAAAGATGTAAAGGAGTATGTGCAGGCATGTTCTGTGTGTGCAGTTTCTAAGGTGACTCATGCACTTCCTTGTGGCCTGTTGCAGCCTCTTCCTGTTCCTGAGATTCCATGGTCCCACTTATCCATGGACTTTATTGTTGAGCTTCCTAGCTCTGCTGGGTTCACTACTATTCTCATGGTTGTAGACCGATTTTCTAAGATGGCTCACTTCATTCCTCTCAAGAAGTTGCCATCTTCGCAAGATTTGGTCCTAATTTTCATACGTGAAATTGTCCGTTTGCATGGCATCCCCCACAATATTGTGTCTGATAGGGGCTCTCAGTTTGTGTCCAGGTTCTGGAGGGCTTTCAGTAAACAATTGGGGATTGATCTCTCCTTCTCCTCCTCCTACCATCCACAGACCAATGGTACAGCTGAGAGGGCTAACCAGTCATTAGAAGTTTATTTGCGTTGTTTTATTAATAGCACACAAGACAATTGGTCCGAACTACTCCCGTGGGCCGAGTTCGCTAGAAACAATGCTGTTCATGACTCCTCTGGGCACAGTCCATTTTTTGTCAATAATGGTAGGCATCCTACGGTTCTCCCTGCGGTATTTTCTGATACTGCCATTCCTGCTCTGGATGAGCGTCTGGCCTCCATTCGGGATACCTGGGTTAAGGTTCAAACTGCTCTAGGGGCTGCTGCTGAACGCTTCAAACATTTTGCTGATAAGCGTAGGAGTGCCAACCCGGTGTACCAAGTGGGGGACCGGGTTTGGTTGTCATCTCGCAACATCAAGCTTAAGGTCCCTAGCATGAAGTTTGCCCCCAGATTCCTTGGTCCCTATAGAGTGCTTCGTAGGATCAATCCAGTGTCTTACTCTCTGGCTCTTCCTGCATCTTTAGGGATTCCCAACACTTTTCATGTGTCCTTACTCAAACCTCTTGTCTGCAATAGATATACTGTTCCTTGTGTTCCTCCCCCTCCGGTGGTGGTGGGTGGTCAGGAAGAGTATGAGGTATCTTCTATCGTGGATTCTAGGTTTTCTCGGGGCACTTTACAGTACTTGGTTGTTTGGAAAGGTTACGGTCCTGCTGATCGTTCTTGGGTTTCGGCTCCTGACCTGCATGCGGGCCGTAAGATCCGCGCTTTTCACGCTAAATTTCCTCTCAAGCCTGGTCCTGTCCTGCCCGGTGGGCGTTCTTCAGGTGGGGGGTAATGTCACGTATTCATCCGCTTATAGAAATGTGGTTAATGACATTTACTGTCCACACAGGAAAAGTTGTGCCGAGCAGCAACCTAATCCACAGAAGGGTTAATGCTGAGCAGCAATTATGCAAATGAAACCTGGTAACTGACTTTGGGGTCAAAGGCCGGTTACAGCCTATCAGAACTAAAGGAGGGGTATTTAGGCCCAGTTCTCAGCCTGCTCAGTGCCCTGTCGTGGTTTCCCTTGTGGTTGTCTGAGAGCGCGTTCCTGTTTATAGTTTTCTACCTGGTTTTTGACTTTGGCTTTGTTTATTGACTTCTCTATATTCTGGTATCCTGACTCCTGGCTTTCCTCATCGCTGTGTCCCTTTCTGTGTTCCCTGACCTCGGCTAGTATTTTTGACTATTCTTTGTACGTTAAATCCGGCCATTCTAAGGACCGGTAATACGTTACTTATTTGTCATCCGTGCTGTACAGTTCTACGTGCTGGATCAAACAGTAATCCTGACAGGAAGACCCCACTTCTGGACTATTCTTTGGAATGCCAGAGGGGCTAACTCCCATTTTGTGGGATCCAGGGTTACACGGCTTAAGAAATCCGCCACTTGATTGTTCTTTCCTGGAAGGTAAACTGCCTTTATCCCCTTCAAATTCTTCTCTGACCATGACATAAGTGGGGTCAACACTTTCATTAAGCGTTTGCTCTTTGTACCCACCTGATGATTGATGTAAGCAACTGCAGAGGTATTGTCTATCCTTACTCTCACCCAACTTTGTTTCAGACAAGGAAAGTGCAGAAGAGCCTGGAAGACTGCTTGCAATTCTAAAACATTCGAGGATAGAGGATACTGTTTGTTTTCCCACTGCCCCTGAACGTGAAGAAGGCCCAAATGAGCTCCCCAACCTGATTGGCAAGCATCCGTCATGAGAGTTACCCAAGGGATATTGCTCAGAGGATACCCTTGATATAGATTCCCGTTCATCAGCCACCATGCCAGTTCCTTCTTGATCTCTGATGATAAAGAGATTGCTTGATTCAGATCCTTGTTCATAAACTGGGATAGAAACCCTTCTTGTGGAATCCTCATATGCCACTTGGCCAATTTCGTAAGGCCTATTGTAGAGGACAAACTTCCCAGAAGGCTCATAAATTCCTGGGCCGGGATGGAGTTCAGAGGCAGAAGACGAAGGATCTTTGATTGAATATGAAGCCCCCTGTCCAAGGATAGGGAGACCTGTGACTGGATTGTGTCGAATCTTGCCCCTAAGTATATCATAACTTGAGAGGGGGAAAGCTGACTCTTCTTGAGGTTTACCAACCATCCAAATTTTTGTAGAATTGAAAGAACCCGATCTCGATGAAGAAGGAGAATATCTCTGCTGTGTGAGAGAATCAAGATGTCGTCGAGATAATGGAATATTGAGATGCCTTCCAGACAGATATGTGCTATTAAGGCAACCAGGATCTTTGAGAAAGTCCTGGGAGCTGTGCTCATGCCAAAGGGAAGGGCTTGAAACTGAAAATGCTGACGGTGAATCGCAAATCTCAGGAACTTCTGGTGTGGTGGAGCAATAGGAACATGAAAATAAGCGTCTCGAAGGTCTATGGAGATTAACCAGTCGCCTGGGGAGATGACTTTTATAATGGAATTTACGGATTCCATCTTGAATTTTCTCACATACAGATTTTCGTTTAATTCGTGAAGGTCTAAAATTGGTCTCCACTCCCCTGATGCTTTTGGAGTGAGAAAAAGTCTGGAATAAACTCCCAATCCTCTTTCTTTTGCAGGAACAGGACATATAACTCCTTCTGCTGAAAGGGAAGAAACAAAAGACCGAATGGCCACTGCTTTCTCTGTTTCCATAGGCATGCTTCTAGACATGAACCGGGGATAAGGGATTGTCGAGAATTCCAGGTAGTAGCCGGATTTTAGGGTCTTTAAAACCCACTTGTCCTGTATTGCTGGAGCCCAGACCTCGTAGAAGTGAAGAAGTCTTGCTCCCACTCCCAAGGGCTGGACTGGAGTCCCATCAGAATTGCCTTGAAGGTTTACCATTGCCACCACGTCCTCGGGTGGTTTTGGAAGAGGAGAGACCACTTTTCCAGGATTGGAATCTGGTCTGTATTGTCTAAAGTCCTTGTCCCGAAAGGAACGTCTGTCCTGCGGTAAGGAAATTTTTTTTGGACGTCTATCTTGAGGAAGAAAGGCCTTACGTCCTTCTACTGCCTTTTTGATACATTCGTCCAAGTATTTGCCAAAGAGCATCTCACGTTGAAAGGGGAGGGAACACAGGCTATTTTTTGAAGAATTATCTGCCACCCAATTACGTAGCCAAAGAGCCCGTCTTGATGCTGCAGTAAGGACCATGCTTCTGGAGATGGTTTTCACCAAATCTATGGAAGCTTCTGATGAAAAATCAATAGCCAGCTTCATTTTCCTTAAGGATTCCAGCAGCCTGGATCTACTGACTCCACTTAATATGTCCTCTTCAAGGTCATCCATCCACTGCTTCAAGGCCCTAGAGACAGATGTCAGGGCTACAGCAGGACGAAGTCCAGAGCCAGAGGCTATATAGGCTTTGGACAAATTTGAGTCCATACATTTATCCATTGGATCTCTTAAAGTACCAGCATCATCCAATGGAAAGGTGGTCTTTTTAGCTAATCGGACAATAGCTGCATCTACTCTGGGGGCAAGGTCCCAATGGTTACTGTCCGTAGCCTTAAAAGGGTATAGTTTAGAAAAACGACCCTGAATAGAGATTCTTTTTTCAGCCTTCTTCCATTCTTGATTAATGAGGTCCTCAATGGTCTCATGTAATGGGAAGGTAGGATTACGCCTTCTCAGGTCAGCAAAATGCTTACTAGAAGCTGGTTCCTCCTCTCTCTTATCATTAAGCTCCAAGGTATCACAAACTGCCTTGATTAAAGCTTCTATTTTCACACTGTCTATAAAGACAGGAGAGGCCCCATATTCTTCATCTTGAGATGACAACTCGTCTTGCTCAAATACCGGGGGTGCATATTCATCAGAGTTTAAGTCAGCATATTCCTCTGGGCTAAAAGATCTACATCTTTTCTTAGCCCTCTCAGACTGTCGAAGACCCTCTGAAACTGCTTGACGGATATAAGAGAGAACATCTGGGTCCGGTTCAGCATGGCCTGCCGCTGCTTTAAGACAAGCTAAGCAGAGCCTTTTCCCAGAAAGCACCTTGTCATCACAAGCTTCACATAAGGGGGTCTTATCCTTCTTTTTCTTGTATGAGGACCTATGGGCAGAACTGAAAATCCCCCAGTCAGAAGTCTGAAATGCACTCTTTTTTTTTGTCTTTAAAAATGTTGCAGTGACTTACTCATAACCTCTAGATTGTGACCTTTTTCTCGAAGCCTGACCGGGGGAATCCATAGTATGGGCAGCTAAAAAAATAAATAAATTAGAATTTCCAGCAACCGATTATTGCTTTGAAAAGGAGTGGGGAATAGAGAAATTACAATAAAAGGACAAGAAATGTCACTTACCTGCAGCCAGAAGACAGAAGTTTAATCCAGTTATGCAGAATTACATCAAACAGCATACAGACAGAATAGAGGTGCTTATCCTTTAAATATAAGATGCCAAACCAGGAAGTACATCCCCCTGCTGCTGGCCTTCCTCTGGCATGCTTTCCACCTGCGTTCCACTGCTTGACAGAGGGAAAAGATAGGCCGAAAAACCGGAAGTACCGAAACCGGAAGTGCCGAAAATATCAGCATGCGTTCCACCATGCGTTCCACGACCGGAATGGATCAGCTACAAGGAAGCAAGAGCCCACCCCCAGTCAGGTAAATTCTTATTTCTCTGCCACTTACATCCTGAGGATAGGGCAGGCCATCTTTATTGGGAAAGCCAAGAAGCCCAAGTTTTTTGCAGCAAGTAGGTGAACCCTTCTGTGGGAATTACCACCTCTCTGGGTCTGGCACATCCAGCTGCTACCTATAGGGTTACTGCAGCATAGCTCCCCGGTCGCTAAGGGGAGAATCCTCCAGGGGGTCGCCCTTGGTGAGGCCCCGTGTCCTGAGGCTTCCATGGGGACAGAGGCTGAACTCCCCATAGGCCAGGGGTACAATTAGACCCAAGTCGCAAAAGAAAATTTTTAGGAGATGCAAACTCCACTGTCCCTGAGAAGTGGACAGAAAAAAAAAGACTGAGGGTGGGGAGTCTCTTTTATTTTAGGAGGTGTTCCTGAACAATTGAGAAGGGGAGGAGCTATGCCCATATGTAGTGCTGCCATGGATATATCCGGGGAAATATATATATATATATATAAATGCTTATTTATTATTTTTTTTAAATACAGAAAAATGCAAAAAAAATAAACATTTTGTGTTTTTTGTACAGTTTTTTGCAATAATAATGTGTGCATAATTAGTGCAGGTTAAGGAAAGTAATTAAAAATAAATTCATTTAGTTGTTCTGATTTACAGAATATATAATGTGTCTGGGATTTTAAGTTTTTTTTGGTAGTTACAGGTCACAAAGCACAAGGAGTAAAATAAACTTTTAATGTGGAGCGATTTTAGAATTTGGTATGTTTGTCTTGTAAGCTTAATAGCCATAAAAGAAAACAAAATTGCCACACAAAAGTATATATTTATATAAAGTAGACATCACAGGCTATTGTCCTAAGGTTGTTTTGACACTTTCTACGTAGCCATTTCACCGCCAATCTCTGCTAAATATTGGAGTAAAATTTAGTTTTGGGGGGTTTTTGGCACACAAACTTATAACAAAGAACTTCTCATGTGTATTTTGTAAAGTTGGTGTGTGATATTCCTGTACAAAGTTTTATTTTGTGTTCAGTTACCTCTGCTGAGTACAACGATACCCCCTTTGTATGTCTTTGGCACTATTTCGTGAAACTACAGTGCCATATAGGAGACCTGTCCGTTTCAACATTTACAGTAGAATTTTGAGATTCGGATTTAATGGGCCTATGCTTCAATTTGGGGCATTATAGCAGTTTGACTGTTCAAAAAACCCCCACAAAGGCCTACCATTTGTAAAAGTAGACACTCCAGGGTATCTCATATGGTGCATATTGTGCCTTAACATGCCCCCATTTTTTCACCAATATATGCCAAAGTATGTGGTAAAAAATAATTTGGGGCCAACTGCCGAGCTGATCAGACGCCATTTCTGACAGCTCCGACATCTAAACTAAAATCTCGCCTAAATCTTGACCATCAAGCCTGATCCCACCACCCCAAACACATACACCGACCTGGGAACCCGCACTGCATCGATAGATGCCCTTCTTTGCGAAAACAAAGACGCAGAAGCAGAAGCGCAAGCCCGGGGCCTACTCCGCGCACACACTGCCTACCCTAGCGGCGCTCTACGGTGGAGCCTATCAAGGCCCTACAAGCAACCCGGGCATCGGATCCCCTTCCACCTCGGGAGACTTCATGCCCGCCATGGGGCGACGCTCCCAGAAAGCTGGAACCCAGATAGAAGGTAGAGACATCGGGGCCATGCTTCAGCGGCCTGCTAGGCCCAAACAGACCCCAGAGGAAAATCAGCCTAGTCCTACCCAAACAGCTCAAGCTGAACTAACCGAGAGAAATAACCTCTATATAGCACGACCAGCACCCCCGGAGGGATCACCACCAGCGACTAAACATGACTTACAAATCCTCCTACATGAGTTTCACAAAATCCTGTCGCAAGAACTAACAGGAATAAAAGCAGAGTTACAGAGCACAAAAGACCGGGTACAGGCCACAGAGGCTGATATAGCCGAAGTTACCACTAACCTAACAAAAGTGCAAGACTCGGTACACCAGCTCCAAAAATCCCACCACAATATGGCCTTACACCTGAACGCCCTCGAGAACAGCCATAGACGCAACAACATCAAGGTACGAGGCATCCCTGCAGAGATCTCCACTGATGAACTGCCGCACTACACAAGAAGGCTACTGGCAACAATCTTACCTCCAGCGGCGGCAAGAAAAATGGTGATTGACGGAATATACCGGGTCGCGGGCCCCCTAAGAGCCGCCTCACAAACAGCTCGGGATGTTATACTTCGCTGTGCATCTTCCTCTGACAAGGGACAAATAATGATAGCACTGCGGGGCAAGACCCCACTAATGTTTGAAGACTCTAGTCTCACCTTCTATCAGGACTTGACGAGGGCCACCTTACAGTGGCGCCGATCACTTCATCCAGTGACCCAACAACTACGTACCGCCAATATCACCTACAGGTGGGGAGCGCCGGGCTCACTCTTAACTACACACAATGGGACTACCCTCACACTCACCTCGCTTGCGGAAGCCTCATCTTTTCTTGAAACGCTGGGACTGACAACTGTAGACACATCAGAGGGCCAGAGGGACCTAGAGAATGGCACTCCCTTGGCTTGAAGCACCGCTTGCCCACCCAATCACGGCGAGAAGAAACAATACCAAGGACACTACAAAAAGACTATAAGTAGTCGGCTCACCCAGATAATAGCAATGCGAATGTTGGTTTATCTGTATATAGGTTGAATACCCCAGAACACTTACCATCCCCAACCTGTATGACAGGGTCTTCTACCTATACTCCTTTAACAACGGGGACCCCCCTTAAGGGCACCCAGACCCACCTCAGACAGCATTAAGAGATGCTCTACCAACCCCCCTCCCTCCCCCCCGCCGCCCCCTTGGTTAGGGGCACAAATAGCAAAACGGTACATAAACGATCTAGTGAAACACGCAGACACAAGAGTGAAGCCAAAGGGAATGTAAATACACTCCTGACCCTCCTGTCACATAACCATACACAGACACCACCCCTAACAGCGACACACCTAGTTGCAGATCGTATAGAGTATTGTTTGTTAGGAGCAGGGACCTGAGATAGTGACACAATGGACATACGATAAAAACCTTCTTAGCTCAACACCTAGTCTCAGACCTGCAACTACAAGCTTTGATTCACCCCGTGAGCACTGACATGCCCTGTTGCACCCGAAAAGCACTCACCTCATCACCGACATGTCCTATCAAATGCAGTTGATATATTACAAAAAGTGCTGTCTAATCGTTGATACTTACCTATGCCTCGCAATTGTATGCTTGTTCATAACCTACTTCTGCTGTTGTGGCAGAATAGGTAAAATTGTTCTATTATCGCACGACTAAATAAAGAATTAAAAAAAAAAAAAAATAATAATAATTTGGGGCATTTTTTACATACGGATTACATTTTTGCTGGGCATTTTGTACATTTCATATGTGCCACTAAATTCAAACCCCCCAAATTATGCTTAGCTAAGTCTTCTGAGTAAAACAATATGCCCAATGTATGACCTAGACACTATTTTGTGAAGTTACACTGCTGTAAAAGAGACGTGACAAGTTGAGGTTTTTAAGTGTGAATTTTCATGGAGGGTTTTGATGCATCCGTGTCCCACTTTGGAGCACTTGAGCAGGCTACATAATACAACTACACCATAAAGGCATACCATTTCTTAAATAACACATCCCAGGGTATTTCAAAAGGCCTATTTTGAACCTTAGCGTGGGATAATTTTTCCACTAGCTTGTACCAAGTGTAGTGGTAATAAGCATTTTTTCTGCCTTTTTGACACACAAAGTGAGTTTGCGCAGTATATTTTGCAAACCTTATGTGTGCGACGACTGTATAATACTTCATATGTTGCTCAGCTATGTTTGCTGAGTACAGCAATACCCCCGTATGTACCTTTGCCTGGTATATGTGGACATCGGAGGGGCACATTTGAGACACAGCCATTCCAGCTCTTTTCAAACTTTGAATTTTTACGCTGTGTCCATGTCCCATTTTAGAGTAATTTACCAGGCTATATAATCCAAATACCCCATAAAGGCATATCATTTCTTAAAGAAGACATCCCAGGGTATTTCAAAAGGCCTATTTTGAACCTTAGCATGGGATCATTTTTCTGCTAGCTTGTACCAAGTGTAGTGGTAATAAGCATTTTTTCTGCCTTTTTGACACACAAAGCGAGTTTTCGGAGTATATTTTGCAAACTTTATGTGTACCACAACTGTATACTACTTCATATGTTGCTCAGCTATGTCGGCTGAGTACAGCAATACCCCCATATGTACCTTTGCCAGGTATATGTGGACATTGAAGGGGCACATTTCAGACACAGCCATTCCAGTTTTTTTCAAACTTTGAATTTTTACGCTGTGTCCATGTCCCATTTTAGAGTATTTTACAAGGCTATATAATCCAATTACCCCCTAGAGGCATACCATTTCTTAAAGAAGACATCCCAGGGCAATTCAAAAGGCCTATTTTGAACCTTAGCGTGGGATCATTTTTCCGCTAGCTTGTACCAAGTGTAGTGGTAATAAGCATTTTTTCTGCCTTTTTGACACACACAAGTG